GACAGCCGTCGAAGCATAAGCACTTCTGGTAATTTCCACACGGCTGAATCGCATAGTTACTATCGTGAATGTAGCTGCTGTTCTATAGCTCTCCTCATCACTGCTAGACGATCTTCAACAACAATGCCGAAACGAAAACAGCATGGAGTCTTCATATTGCCCTCAATAGCAAAGAAAGCCAAACAATGAAGTACTGAAAAAGAAGATACGGTGCTTCCCATGCAAAATATTCTGCGCCGCAGGAAAGATCTCCAGCAGATTTCGTACGCCACGTATGTGCAGCCGACTGCAGAGCCGACTCCAAAGAATGAACAAAATTATGTGATTTCCGCTTCATTTCATGAGCAGTTTGCTAGTGCCATTCCATGCGTTGAATGTGGTGCGCCTAGCACGGTATCCGTGGTGTGCAATCACATTGTGTCCATGGTGATTAAGCAATCAATGCTCTGTGTGTGAAGTCTAAACTTGACTACAATGAGTCATGTGGTGCATGATGATACCCTCTTTTAAGAGTAATAGACTTTTTACTAGTAAATTACAAAGCCGGTGAACCAGTGCCAAGCTGTGGATGAAACCTACACCTTCCATGATCATAGATTTCAGTTTTTGGCTCTTCTGAAAACTTGATATTTTAATCTTAAAAATCAATCTCCTCATATGATTTTCAAGCTACAGCATTGAAAGATACACCATTCGATTAGTAAAAACCAGATCCAGCGATCATCCGGTCACTTTTTCAGATTTTTTATTATATATTGAAAAAAGGGAGGGGGGAGGAGGAGGGGCCAAAATTGAAAAAAATCACAAAAATGAGGAAAAAATTGGAAAAAGTGATCGGACGATCGCTAGATATGGTTTTTACTAATCAAATGATATGTCTCATTTTGAAGCACGTTAAATGAATGAGGATTGAGGAGGTATATTTTCACCATTCACATTTTATTGCTGTTTTGTATGAATTTCACGTTTTCTTTCAGTTTTTCGACAAATTTCCATGAGAAAAAATGTCTTGGATTTCTTTTTTACATACGTGTACCAGTTTCAAATGATCCGTCCATAAATAAAAAAGTTTTTTGACGTACATGCTCCCCTTAAAGCGTGCAGTCAAGTGTTCAGGAGGCCTCATGAACACGTGGTCTGTATCCATGAACACCACCGCTTCATGCTAGCCTTTGGTATGAAAACTGGGCGGTAGATCAGTGAGAGGTGAATTCTGAGTTGTTAAGGAAACACAATCAAACTGAAACAAAATATTGAATAAAATCACGCATGTTTTCAGATAATCTATTGATATTTTGCTCTCACGATGGAGTGAAAGAAAAAATTCTGATGCAACTATCGCTTAGTAACGTTTATTGTAGGAATTTTTCCTGGAGTCCAGTCCAGTAATGCGGCAGATTTCCTTATAGTTCCAATATTTCATCAGATATCCTGATGGAATTATACTACAAATTTGCCCTTGATTGATGTGGAAATTTGTTAGAGATTGGACATCTTCTGAGTCCGAACTCTGGTGGCGGAGGTCAACCTGTTATAAAATCGAGTTTAATTTTCCTGTTGCGCGTTGGGCAGGCCACAGCTCCTGCTTGAGGCAAGTCCGGCCGTAAATTTGTCCAAGACGTGCTTGAGACGTCTCGGACAACTTTACGGCCGGACTTGCGGCCGGTCTGACGACCAATCTCCAATTCAGTGAACAAAGAATATCTCCCAGAGTAATGAACGTAGCTCGATGAAACTTGGTACAAATATTCATTAAGACCTTACGGTGATGATTAGGTCGTGAAAAAATTTTAATTTCACCTTCATTCGTGAGTTATATGACGAGTGAACTATACACATAAACTGCGAACTATAATTCGCAGTGAACTATTCATTTCTTACAAAGGACTGAACAGATGTGAAAGAAATTTTGAACATACATTCCTAAATATCCAACGGTGATGTATAGCGCGTGAAAATTTGTTAGATTTTGCCTTCGTTCGCAAGTATTTTTTCCATTTTATCCTCATTCGTGATTTAAAAAGCAACACGTGCTTAAATTTGCAGTGAACAAGAAATTTCTTCTCAACTACTTAACAGATTCGAATGAAACTTGCCGGCGATGTCGGCGCTGAATAGTAGGCCTGATATGGCCTGTTCGCCGATTCTTGTACTTTTCGTGACATGTTCACAGAAGATCCAAAAGCATGTTCTTTGACCGGATTTTTTCAAGACTGACGATAGTTTGAAATAGCTACTAGACTTCCACCGGGTTCGATATGGTGCTAGGCATTTCAAGTCTGAACATATATTTTTCCATAGCTTTAGTCTGTTCTTGAACGCGCACAAACGCGGAGCGCCAACGATGCAATAAGGGAGGCTCATGTTCCACATGTTGGTGACTCGAAGCGAGAAGAAATGTTGCCGCATGGATATGTTACAACGCAGCTTTTTTAATTTATAGCCGTAGGACCTTGTTTAAACCATGAATATACTTGTATGCTTCAATGAGGTCCCCACGAAGACGTCGATAACTGAGGCTTGGAAGCTTCATAATCTTTAATCTTTCCTCATAGGACTTGCCTTTCAAGCCCGGAACTATCCTTGTTGCGCGTCTTTGTACACTCTCTATTAAATTTTTGTCCTTTTCAAATTTCGGTGACCAAACGACGTTTCCAGACTCTAGGTTCGGGCGCTCGACAGCAACAAACAACTGCTTTATCGCTTCTGCATCTAGGAACTCGAAAGAGCGGCTGATCAGTCAAAGACGTTTATTGGTTCTATTAACTTCACCTTCAATATGCTCAGAAAATTTCAACTCATTGTCGGTATTGGCTCCCAAATCTTTTTCCATTGTCGACTTCGACATCCACCGTGTCTTATCATACTGTAATCTTGCTGTTCATTATTCTTGCCAAGGTGGATAACTTTACATTTGTCAGCGTTAAAACGCAGCAGCCACTTATCAGCCCATTCAACCAGCCTGTCAAGATCAGGAGACCTCAAGATTGATTGCCGCACTGCTTCGACATGCTGCGAAGATCTTGCAGCGCTTTGATGACCTGGTTTCTTCTTCACATCTCCAGATTCCCTGAACTTCATCCACGAAACGACACTCGTGATACTCGTGAAATTATAACAGACTTTTTGCCGCTTCAAAGTGAGTAAATTTTTAAGTTTGGGAGAACTTTCGAGCTGAATTTAGAAAGTTATGCATACTAACTTAATATTAGAAACGGCTGAACTCGTGAAATTATAACAGACTTTCTCCCGCTTTAATGTGAATAAATTTCTAGGTTTGGGAGAACTTTCGAGTTGCATTTAGATAGATATGATCATTAACTCTATTTTAGAAACGGCTGACCTGATAATCGTGAAATTATAACAGACTTTCTCCCGCTTTAATGTGAATAAATTTCTAGGTTTGGGAGAACTTTCAAATTGAATTTATGAAGATACTAATTTTATTTTAGAAACGGCAGAACTGTTATTCGTGAAATTGTATTAGACTTTTTGCAGCTATAAACTGAATAAATTTCTAGATTTGGGAGAACTTTCGAGCTAAATTTAAAAGTTTGGATCATAAACAATTATTTTGAAGCGACTGAACTGTTACTCGTGAAATTATAAGACTTTTTTTCGCTTTAAAATGAATAAATTTCTAGGTTTGGGAGACTTTTCGAGTTGCATTTAGAAAGTTAACAATACTATTTCTGTTCTGAAAAACAGAAACCAACATTGGAGGCCTGCACCAGCATAGTTATGCGGTGCCCTGACCCATCGTGAAATTATAACAGACTTTTTCCCGCTCTAAAGTGAATAAATTTCTATGTTTGAGAGAACTTCTGAGTCAAATTTAAAAATTTATGAATACTATTTATATTATAGAAACGGCTGAACTCGTTAAATTAAAACAAAATTTTCGCTATTCTAAATAATATTTAATATCAGTAATATTAATTAATATGTTAATATTTACTCCATTATTTATTAAAATTACAGCCAGCTCAAAAGTAGAACTAGTACCAGACTACCAGTGTAGTAGCAGACTAGCTTGGTCAGTAGCAGCTTTTAATCACTAGGTGCTAGTATCAAGCACTAGCCCTAGTGCTTGATACTAGCCTAACTTGACTTAGTAAGAAAACCAGGGCAGTACGAGTACCAGGCAAGTGGAAGTAAGCAGTTTCATATAACGATGTCTTTATAACAGTAAAATCATCCTGGTCTGCAAAATATATTAAATAACGTCTCAACTTTGATATTATGAACCAAACCACTAACAGGATTTTGGAAGTCACAGTCACATCACTGAAACTGAATCACTAAATCACTACTGGTACAGTAGTTAATATGGGCCAGACGCCCATATTAGTACAGTAGTTGGACGTTTGGGCCAGATGCCACATGACTGGCCATAGCTGAGGCTCTCATCACAAGCAGGAGTCTCCAGCTATTAATTTACAAACTACCGGATTTCAGGACATTGCAAATGTTCTCGTAATTTAAGCTTTGATTTCAATCTGTATCCATAATACCTATGTTTGTTACTAATGTCATTTAAAAAATTCAATTTCAAGCGCTGCAAAACATCTTCATCTTCTACTTGATAATGAATGAAGTTGCATTCGAAACGTCGTAAAATTTGAATTATAATAGAATGTCCCTTGGAAACCTGATATTTAACTTTTCAGTTCCTCTCAAGAGCCTAATTAGCCAAATAGAGAAAAACAATAAGAAAATTGGATACGTATATATATATATATATATTATTATAAGATGGCAGAAATTTCTTGATTATATGCGTACAATTTATGACCAGAGAGTGCATTTGAATTTTCAAGGAGTTGAACAATTCTTAGATGACGTTGGTAGATCAAAAGGCAGATTTAGCTCTGTCTCTTATACACATCTAGATGTGTATAAGAGACAGGTTTTCAATGAGCCTTTTTAATTCATCAATAATCTTGTGACGAAGTTGCTCGCTTTTAACACTTTGAGACAGTTTGAGTTTCTTTTCTGAGTCTTCAAATTTCATATTTTGGGTTTTACTGTTGATTTTTNGGGCTCTGTCAATGCCTCTACGTCGGCCAAGTGCTACCCAGAACTTGCGCAGGACCTGGATGTAGCGCTCCGTGTTCACAGTCAAGGACCGCTCGTCATCGTCCTCAAACCAGAATGGCCCGATAATGCCATGAGTTGAAATGGCCACCCAGGCAGTACACTTGACAGAGTGCAAGGGCCTTTGCAGGCAGTGGTCAGGGGGTGTGCTGCCCCAGAAAATGTTATTCTTAGAGTTAACGTGCCCAGACAGCAGAAAGTGGGCCTCGTCTGAAAACCACATGTTGTCGAGAAATTCCGGTTCATCATCAATCTTGTCTGACAACCACTGGCACATGGTGACTCGCTTCCGCATGTCGTCAGCTGTGAGCTTGTGCTTGATTTGAATCCTGTAGGGATACAGATGGAGATCTGAGATCAAAATTCTTCTTACAGACTCCCGGTTGATGCCAAGCTCTTGACTTCGCCGACGCACAGACTTGCTTGGGCTGTGGACAACAGAGTCTCTGACTGCAGCAACATTGTCTTGTGTCCGTGATGATTTTGGTCGCCCAGAGTGTGATTGTCTGTTTTTGTCTTTTGCATTGAGGTTATTCACAGTCCCATGGGTTCTGAACTTTTGAACCCATCCGCAGATCACTGAGCTGACAGGAAATTCACGACAATTGAAATGGTCTTTGAATCGCAATTGCGTTTCCCGGAAAGACTTTAGCCGAAAATATGTCTCAACTGCAAATGTCTTTTGCTCTGTAGTCCAAGGCATCTCGAAGCTCACACGTGGTAGACTCTTAGATCAATCCGTCTTCTTAATGAATCTGAAACAAATAACAGGATTACTTGAGTATTGTGGAAATTATTCAACTTTTTATGAGCTCTGTTTTTTTTGTGTCACCCTGTATTGGGACATGGGCGCTCGCGGCTATGTATAAATGAATTTGAAGTTTGCGCCAAAGAGGTTTTTGATTATTGGGAGCCATCCGTCACGACCTGCAGTCTGCGGGAATAGCGGCGAATTTTACATACAATACTTGAACTGAATTTTGGTAGATTTTCCCGATCATAATTAACAGGTAACATGTTTATATAATTTATGTGTGCTGCAAGAAGAAATTTAACACAAAAGGTAATTTTTATGGAATTTTAGTCGGATTCAGCATCCGAGGCTGACTCCAGAGAGATGGCCTCTCTACCTGTCCTTATTACTTTAGGGGGAGTTTTGTCCGTGGCGAGCACGTGCAGTGGAGTTACTTCCCTTCCCCCTTGGTAGCTGTCGCTTCCGAGGCAGCACGACGATGTCGTGACTTTGCTAACTACCACTACTTCAGTGTGAGTTGCCACTACTTCAGTGTGAGTAACGACAGTCAACATGGTCGCAACAGTCAAAATGGTCGGCATCGGAGGACTTACGGTTTGTTGCGGTGTGACTGCCGCCACGGTACCAAGCACAACATGCTCAACGCCGGGCAACGGACACGACTCTCCCGTGAACGTTGTTTCAACAGACAGATAGCGGGAATTAAGCCAAGAATCACTAACATCAATAGGATCGTGAGCAAAAACGTTAAACAAATGGAACTCATGGAACCAGTGCACCAGAGTGTCTTTACACTGGGCCTCTGGCATTTCCCCAACAGTTTTACATCTTTAATCATTGAATTTAATTCATGGTCAATGTGCAAGGTAATAGGTGAGGCTTTGCTGATTTCATAGGCATCGAGTACAACGGAATCAATTTCACCTGTTCACTCTTCACACGCATTGTGGCCTTAATGTTAATGCGATACGTACCGTTTATACCGAGCAGAGAGCATGGTGCCTATTCCGACACGATACCAGCCACTAGTCGCGAGTCGACTAGTGCGTACGGCGGTGCAGTTTTCACTCAAACAACTTACTTTTACCCATACAATTCGCCATTTATTTCGGGTGAAAACACCGTATTCCACAACTGATTTATTAAGGGGTGCATATGTGCAAGCTGGGCCATGAAAAATTCCTCTAAAATTCCTGAATAGTCACGGCTGTTGCTTCTTCCAAAAAGAGAAATCATTGGTCCATGAGATTTCCAAGAAATAGCACTCCAGACTATTACAGATCCCCCAAGTCAATGATCCCCCATCATGATCGATCGACGGAGATTGATGTGGTTCGATCAAAAATATTGATGCAAATTCTTGCTCGATCGACGAAGGCAAAACTCAATTTGGATGAGGACTGTAGGGGGCAATGCCGCGGGGCGCACCACCGATTCAAGAGGAGTATTCTATGCCGATTCAATACAGATCTTCAAAGTTTCTGCACCCGATAATTTGTTGAGTCGAATAATTTGCATCGATCGATGTCGCATCTAGAGTAGCTGAAGTCGAATCTGCATTAATCGATGTCGAATCATCATTGATCTACGACGAACCTTTAAATCGATGTCTAATCCATATCAATTGTCGAATGCCCGGCAGTTGAGTTTGAACGATTTTCGATTACGCGAAAACAATTTTAAAATGATTTTTCTCTCTTTCTCTCCGAGATCACCGACACGTTACTCTTTACTATGACAAGTCAGATTAGATAGTCTTCGCTGTCGAACATTTACATCGCATATACACTTGCGATATCAATTACAACCTAACAAATTCCATTACTAATGATGCAGAAAAGGTACAAGTAATTCACCGCTGTGTGCTCCTACCGGATAAACGTCGATGGCAGCTCCGAGATTCGAACGCGGGAATTTTGCGTCCGAATTCATGCTTCAGCCACCTTGCCCACCAAGAAACCTTACCATACTGAGCTATTTCAACTGCACACTGTAACTGCAAAACGAATGGCTTGCAATCGTCAGGTGAATAGAGGAATAGCCACATTTGTGGTGGAACTGTTTAAAAATTATTCATTTATATTAACTTTAGAGGAATGAACGCAGTTTCTATATTATTCTATGAACTAGATTGAACACAATTTTAACAGGGTAATCATAAATTAAAGTGCATATCAATTTCCGATTCACTATTCTATTAGATTGAATAGCCAACCGACATGTTTGCGCATGAATTTTTCGGTTTGCTCTGTAAAGTTGCCCACACTCAGATACCTCGAACTGCAACGATAAATCCACAGTCGATAGCTCGCCATGCATCTGCATAGATTATTCAGGGAAATTAGACTTCCAAATCTTCGAGTGGTCGGATCTTCCGCGTTATGCAGTAACCCACACTAATCGACATCGTTGTCCACATTGGCGATTGACTGGGGGCCGGCCGCCATGTTTTACGGTTGGGTGGAGGCAAACGGGATAAAATGACTCATTTGGCTGTCTCCAAACGTAAAATCGGCCAGAGATTTCAATAAAGCAAACGATGATTCATCAGAGAAAATCTCATTTTTCAACTGCTCTAGGAATCAATTCTGGAGGATTTTATACCACTCTAGTAGCTATGAAGCATTTGTATTTGAAACAAGAGTATTTCTAATTGCAGCTCTTCCATAGAATCCAAATCTGCACAACTCTGCGGACAGTCTTTATGGAAACCGAGTATGTATGTGTCCATTGAGGTCTACAGTAATATTAAGAACCGAGGTCTTTCGATTTTCCTTCACAATTAAATGTAGGTACTGAAGGTCTCTTTCATAGACAAATTCGTCTTTCGGCCAGATGTGCGCTCTGCGGAGGACGTTTTTCCTTTTCTTTCAAAAGCAATCATTACTTTTGAAACAGTAGCTCTATAAAGTCAAGCATTCGGGAAGTTCCGGCCACACTAGCACCTGCCATACTGGCACCACCAATTGGGCCTCATTGAAAAGTCAGCGAGGTTTACCATTTATAGTTATAGGATTGATTAGAGACATAAAAATTACAAAAAATATCTGTGCTAAGGTAAGATATCAATTAGCAGCCACAATAAACAATAAAACATATGAATATGTCACGTTTTCATTGTTTATAATATGTTTAGAAATTACCATAAAATTTTATGTGTTTCTCTTATTTTGTCCAACCCCCGTATGGTTTCCACATTACGCGCTTCTTACTTCAACACTGTTGTTTTATCTCGTAAAACGATGCATACGACTTTGAAACAATTTACTTTCACGTAATAAAATAATCAATAAATAACCTTGTTTTTAATTGCAAGTGCTGTCATTAGTGAAGTTTGTTCTATTACTTGTCAACGTTATTCAAAACGTTTAGAGAGCTCAATATTCCGTCAGTGATGGATATATATGGTGGGGCAGAGAAACTTGCTTTCATGAAGCATATATTATAAGAAATTTATTTATATACAAATGCATTTTGTTAAAGCATAATCAAGAACAAGTAAATTTTACAATATGTCCGTTTCAAAGATGATATCTCGCAAATGACGTCCGTTATTGTTAATACACTGTGATAGTCGTGACAGAAAATTGGTGTCGACTCTTCCCAGAATATCAATAGGAATGTTGGCGACGGCTTCACTAATGTTATACATGAGATCGTTCAGGTTGTTGGGTTGGGGATGGAACTTATTTCCTCATGAAGGATTCGTCAAACAGAACGAGTTGATAACGCAAGAGCTGATGCATGCTTGCGAACAGAGCTGGGCAGCGCTATTTTGAAATGTAGCGGCGCTAACGCTACCGCTACATGCTCTAAATGTAACGGGCGCTACCGCTACAACTCGTCTCGTTATGTCTCGTTTCAAATCTGTATGTCTCGTCCCGGTTCATAATTTACCGGGACACAAGTTTTAAAGTCCGGGACAGGAGTCTTGTCTCGGTTCATACGTTTATTCCGGGACAAATTTTACCCTCTGTCCCGTTATTTTTTTCCCGGAATTTTCTCGTCTCGTTTCGTCTGTCCCGGTTCATTTCGAGAAAATTGTTTCGAGACGCAGGAGTCTATATAGCGCGGCGTGGCTGTTCTCAACGGAAATCTGGTAACTTATCACTGAAAAATGTAATCCAATTTACAGAACAATTTTTGCTAGTGAAAAATTGGGTTCCGTGATCTTATTTTCCTCATCAATAGAAAAAGGTTCTGTAATTTTTGATGCACCGCAATATTTAATGAAATCGTTTTAAAGGCAATTTTTTGGCATGCACAATTATTTTCTGTTTTGAACTCCACATCATAACTACTAATAAAATCAAGCGTCCCAAATGATCGACCTTGATCTGGCTTGACGCTGCCGTGTTGCGATGATAGTTTAGTTCAGTATAATATTTAGTTTAGTTTCATGGTATATTTTTGCTCGTATAGTCTAGAATAAAAACTACTGCAATTTGGCTTATAAAAATTATGTAACAAAACCACTGCATGTTAGATCTTTGCGCATTCAATTTGCTTACATTATCTCTCAAGGTTTTCTGAGTATTCTTATCCAATCTTATACAAAGAAGATTACATTAGAATTCCAGCATCTGAAGCCGTCCAAACGAGCAGTACTTTCACTTAGAGACACATCCTAGTCTGTGTACACCCGCGTTGACTCGGTGTATTTTTAGTTTAGGTAGGCAGAATAAAGCCTGCAATTCACTGAATGATATTCGCTATCATCAGCTTCATTAATTAAGAAAGTTGGCAGCGAGACGAACGGAAAGGACAAGCTTGATCTCCATTCTGCAGTACAATTTTCCTTTTAATTCAATGCTTTCAGTACAGACACGACTTCGAAGCTTATGAAAAAAGTGTGCTATCGGACCGTATTCATGAATAGATGTTTTAAGACCGATTCAAAATTTTTAATTTTATTCTCTGATTTATCTTGTAAATAGTTCCATAAAATTGTAGGATGTACATTTCTTTCACGCTTATCTGCATGTCAATGATTTCTCTTCCGGCACCGATAAATTGTAAGATAGCGATTTACCATATGTGTGAGTTTGTAATATATTTTTCTTTTAAATTTGACACATATGAAAATGAGATTTATATTAAACAATTTAACTGGGATGGAGTATGTAATTTAAGGGTTATGAGGTTATGAGAGGGTACAACAAGGATCACCGTGCACTAAACAAATAATTTTTACACGTTTGGACTAAATTTGAGTCCCTGGAATTTTTCCCTAGACTGATGGAGGTAAATAAATAATTGAGATTTAATTAGTTTGATATTCCGCTATCTAACTTTCTTCGAATCATTCATGAAATATATATATATAACTTAATTTAAACATACAATTTGAGAAGATTGAGACATCGTTGCGGATGCACAAAATTGACTTCATTGTGCATGATATAATTTTCCCATATTCAAAACATATATGGTTCCAAACGTATCAATTGTAATCAGAGAATAACTCAGTTCCGATCATTTACAATTTTTATATTAATTTTGAGAAAAATTCACCTTTCTGCACATAACTTTGAAGTTTTATTTATTTTTTGACGACACGGTTATTCCCAAAGGCCCATCGCAGCCGGGAAAACTCCTCTCAAATGAATCGTGACGTGCAAGGTATTGCCAGAATACGTAAGTTCTGCCGAAATAAGTTAAGTGTACTTCATACGAATAATTTCATAATAAAAATGTTTCCAAACATTGTAACGTCCTAAAGTTGCAAGACATCAAAAGAGAAATAAATTTATAAAAGTCCATTTTCCAATCATTTCACAGATCCAAATACACATAAACAGAAAAATGTTGATTCATTTTAGTAATATTAACATACATCTAGAGAAGGCAAAATAAATGCATAAAAATACATATGCCGTGGCCTGTGTAAAGCAATTCAGTATCACGACATAATTTTGTAATTGTAATTTATTTAATGGAAGCTGATCGATTAGAATAAAGAATTATTCTCATACAAAGCATTTCACTATCACATAATTATCTTACAAAACATTATAATCATAAAGCGACAGCTCGAAAAACTTTTATTCAAAAATTCTTTTGAATATCTTGTGATCTTTAACAACAGTCCAAAGTCATTTTCCAGGAGACAAGTAATAAAAGCAGCTAGATTCTTACTTTTTTACCAACAATTTCGTAGTCCAAACAAATTAAAATATGATAAGCGAGTCATAGATGTATGTGCTCTTAATTAGACAGAATGTCTTTAGTTCATGCCTAAAATTTGAAGCTACTTCTTCGACAGAAAGTTCCTTGCTTTTTCTCAGAATCAGCCCCCTCCCTCAAAGGTTGAGAAAGTGATCGAGAATGTTAGGTCTCGGCTCCCCCGGCAATAGCAAAACTACTTCGTTCGCCCAAATAAATAAATTTTGATGTCTCAGTTTTTCCTGCTCAAATAATCGTACGATTTCAAATAAACGATGTTACAATCTTTCTCACAGAGCCCGGTCTATCAAGAGAAGAAATAATATTAGCGAAAACCAGGTCCAAGATCCGCGCAAAATTTCAAAACTACGGCGTTCACCCGTCGCTTGGTGTGGCCGACGTGGCGGCCTTGGTGCCTGAAATGGGCGGTCGTCCTGCGCTCAACTGGGTGGTGACCACATGGCGTTCGGGATCAACTTTTGTCGGCGACTTGCTGACAGCGCATCCAGGAACCTTTTATCATTATGAACCGCTGATGGACTTTGACATCCAGCAAGTGAGATCTGGACAACTTGCGGAGAAAGCTGTCCACAATCTCGCGCAACTCTTCTCCTGCAACTACACAAACATGGGTCAAGGATATATGAATCGCGTGAACAATTTCTTTGGAGTATCATCAATAAAACTTTACGATCTTTGGAGATTACATGCCGACAGATGAGAGCCGTCAGATTCTTTGCTTTTCAATGAATACCTACCTTAAATTCTATTTTTTGACAAAGTACGATGTCAGTTTGATGCGTCAGTTTGTTGACAATTTGAACGCATCTTAAATCTTTTACAGAATTTTCAAAAAAAAATAGATACTAAGAAAATTTAACGAGCCTTTCCAACCGAACTCCAATTTGTAGGAAGACTGTATTTTGGAACGACGAAAAGTCAATTATGGTACATTTAAGTTAGTTGTAATGGAATCGAGCGACTTTGAAACTTGTTCGGTAACTATGAAATACAATTTACCAAGCTCTCCTTGTTCTAAAATCAACTTTACTGTTTGCTAAAAAAGTAATTTTTTATTTGTTTAAATTTAGGAGAATGAATGATATTTCCCAAGAAAATATATACCTACAAATTCGTTCCTCATTCAAATGTCTGTTCAACAGGAATAATAATCTCTTGAATTATCGTCCCAGATCACTACATCACGTACGGAAGGTCTCACCCTTGGCTCTTCAGTCACAACAAGATGCTGTGGTCTGCCTGTACCTTGCGCAGAAGTTTTTGTGAACAACCTGAACTTTTTTCTCGGTTCTGTCAACTCTTTCCTTTCCAAGTCATGAAAACTGTGCGCCTACGCATGAATATTACAGAAGGAATTCTTAAAAATTCCGAGTGAGCATTTAAAGTAACTTAACAAAATTATACATGTATTCATACAATTTATAAACATTTTGCAGAATAATGCTTACATCGATTTGGACAGTGTTTTCATCGATTTTAGTAGGACAGTGTTTCATAATACTCTAGCTATTTATATACCATGTACCTGTGAATTTGGCTAAATGTACCTTCTAGTTCAGCTTGTCATTCAAAACTATTTGAAGCATTGATTGTTTGAAAATCGTTAGTTTTTCATAATAGTTATAATGAAACGTCATAATAGATATAATGAAATATTTTCACGGCTTTTAGAGCCGTTTTTATTTTTAAAATTTTGCTAATTCTAGTACGCCGTATGTTCATCTGGGTTGACGTGATTTATCATAGAATAAGTCGCTTCGTTGAATTAATATAGAAAGGACTCATTCTCCAACATTAAAAAATTATGTCGCTTTAACAATCGGCTATTTTCACGCATCATTTTTCTTCTGCTGGAATGAAAAACATGATTAGAATAGTCTTATTTTTCATTTAAGTTAAATAAGAAAACATGACTACATCCACATTACTTGTTCAATAAGAGAAATGATGAGAACACTTCTGACATGCATCCTACATTTTTGAATTTATATATTTTAAACATGATTGACTTGCAATAAACCTGTCATGTTCGAGAAATGAAGACATGATATACACATATCTAACCTTTTCAGAATAAAGAAAGTGAAAACTTTAGTTGCATTCATCGAACTTTTCCACGTAAAGGTATAAATAAAACAAGATTTACATGCATATGTCCTTTCATCGAAGAAATAAATAATCAAATTATTTCCACGCATCATTGTATCATATATAACGCGTTTGATTAAATAATTACATACATACTGCAATTTCAGCAAAGTGAAATAAATAAAACTGCAGCAAGTAATTGCGTAAGACCAGTAATTGCGTAATGCAAAAGAATAACCTGGAGCATTTACATATTGCCTTATATTTCTACGCAACGCGTGCACTAAACCTTAAATGACATAAATCTTGCACAGGATATCTCAGATAGCAAGAAAGGATGAAAATTGATTCAACATCGAAATATTTGTATGAATTTGTAATAACTGCAGACTTCTACAGAAAAATGTAACGTTAATGTTGTATTAACCTATCAAAAGAAGTGTTCCAAGAGCATCCGAAGGAATAGCGTGAAGCCACAAGCCACTCTCTCTCTTCGCCGCCGCAAGTAGACGAGCCCTGGATATTTGGTCCGCCGCTTCCAAAAGCCGCGCTGCGGAGGCCGCGGCCACAGGCCCATCCCAAGGCCTCTGCCGGCCCAAACTCGCGTACTCGGGCAAAGCAATACCTGCGTTCCCATTGCGCCACTCATCCACCACCATCCGCAAACTGTCATCCTCGGCCAGTCGTACATTATGTAAAACAGCATCAACTAGGCCCCGGACGGAGTGGAGTGACGATATGAACGCAGGGAGCGCGATGTCCTTTGACATACGGATATTGCACAACTTCAACACTGAAATATTTGTATGAAATCTAATTTAACTGCATCTTTTACTTTTTCAGATAAAGGTAACGTTAATGTTGTATCATATCGATGAATCATTTCTTTAGATTATTATTCGATCAATATAATCCAATATCCCACCCGTTTAAGAACGTTTCACAGTCGCTTTGAACGAATTTGCCCTGTTTTTCGTGAAATCATCAGGGAAATCATTAGCTAGTACGATTATCACAACATAAAATAAGAAATAGAAGAAAATAATGGGAGCTCGGTTGAAAAAAATCTACGTCCCTCCGCCAAGAACCTGACGCCAGTTTACGCGCAGCTTTGACGTGCGTGTGCTGCTGCTTGTGCGGGACCCGCGCGGGACCATGCAGTCCCGGCGCCACCGCACCTGGTGTCCCGGCCACCCGGACTGCCAAGACCCGGCCCGCCTCTGCGGTGACCTCGTGAGCGACTACCACGCGGCGCAGAGTCTCATCCGGCGCTACCCCAACAGGGTCAGGTGAGAGGCGAACCTTAAGGACCAGGGTCAGGTTAGAGGCGAGCCTTGACAACAGGGTCAGGTTAGAGGCGAGCCTTAACAACAGGGTCAGGTTAGAGGCGAGCCTTAAGGACCAAGGTGGCCCAGTGGTTATAGTTCAGAGTACGTACCAAGATTGGCGCAGAGAGGCGTGGGTTCGATCTCAGCTCTGTGCGCCAGTTTCTGGTTAGAATCGGCGAGGAGGCCGGGCGGTTAAGCGCAGCAGAATTGTAGCAGTGAGTTGGGAGTTCGAGACCGCAAAATGCTGTGAATGTTCAGCGATGTTAAGAATCGGCGACAGGCCTACGGCCTACTAAACGCTGAAACCGCGCAATAATAAGTATTATTATTATTGCTATTATAAGATGAGTGACTTGACTCATGTGAGTCGCAGAGCTCGATCACAATGGGAGAAAAAATTGAAATAAAAAGCTTAGGCGATGCCTTCACCATATCCGACAAGTATGTACGTATATGATTCTTGGTGTCATAATTGCATAGTATCGAGTAAGTGAAGCTTATTAGACGCGTGCGTACTAAATTTAGGTTGCCAAGCGTGTCATAAGATTGCCTTGGAACATACTTCACGAAAAAGTTTCATTTCAGCTATAATATTTTGTACTAACTTCTTTTTTTTCGATGACAAACCCTTGCGTATAATGTAGCATACATTCATGCAATTTAGCTTAACTATTCAATGATTCTTTTGGTGAAAATGTTCAGGGAAGTCATCAAAATATTTTAGTTATTTATATTTATCGTTTCACGAATGTCTTGTTTGATGCCATTCCATCTTGGTTCGTATTTTTTAATTTGGTGATAATGGACAAGCTCTTCAAATAAATTTTGCATAAATAATTTTTAATCCTTTGTATGTGGTATCGATTTTATTTTCCAATACGTTGCAGATTCGGGAAACAAGAGTAGAAGAAAACAGAAAAATAATGTTGAATACTGTGGTAAAAACACTAAAGTTTCATAAAATATTCAGACGGTTTCGCGTTTTGGTAATGTTTCGGCTCATGCAGGCATATGGTGTAGCCGAGAAAAAATGCGACAATTTGGTGGAAAAATTGTCCCGGTATCTTAGAATAGACGACAAATAGCTCATCGAGTTTCATTTCGATAAAACGGATGAAAATTAATTTTGGTCCATCCATTGATTATTAATATGAATTATGATCTTGTAAATAAATCGCTAGAAGAAATTGCATATAAAACAATCGAAGAATATTGGATTTTAGTGCAGCTGTTTAGAAAACTGAAGTCTTCATTCTATTACTTCGTCAGATATTAGGATTGGTACCTTTCAAGATGTTCCATTCGTCTGTTATTTTTATTAATACAAACATATTAGTCACAATGCCTACGACTTGCAGAGTGATGCGGTACGAGGACCTGTCATTCAACGTCCAAAATATGACACGGGACTTATTCGATTTTTTTCGTTTATCGTACGTGGAGGAAGTTGACATTTTCCTGACGTCGCACACTCAAAGGACGCAGGGCGGCGTTTCAAGTACAATTCGCGACTCCAAAACCGCGCCCATCCACTGGCAGAAAGACTTAACATTTGAAGAGGTAAGTGGAACGGAAAGGATTTCTTGATTACAGGAAATCACGTTGCTTTCAGTGTTTTTGATATCATTCTTGTTTCCCTCCAATTATCGTATGGAATTAAGGAAAGAATGTGCGCTGCCGCCACTAAACATAGAAAAACGTGTAACTGTGATGTAAACATATCGACCCTCATATATGATTTTATATTAATATTTATAGCCTGGAAAGCGTAAAGGAAACTATGTATAATGCATTAAATTACAGGTATAGAATTTTATCAAAATCAATTAGTCAGTAACATGAAAAAAGCATACGAGTAAATTTGGTTGTTTTACCATGCCTGCTTTGTCAGTATCTTGCCCAAAACAGAGATGTAGATAAATGAAAATAGTGCATGCCTTTTAAAAAAACGTTGAAGGAAACCATTTTAGGCAGAGGCAACTTCATATTTTGACAACAATGGATATATCTTTTTCAAAATTTCATCAATGGATGTATCTTTTCCCTGCAGGTGGAGGCTATTCAGTCCAAATGCCACAGAGCAATGGACTTGTACGCATATAAACTAGCACAAAATGCTGAACATCTTATACAGTTTGACCCCATCGGGAAATTCACGTTCCCGAATTCCTGATTCTGCCAGCTTTTCTAAGATGGCTATAAATTTGATTGAGCTTTTAAAGTGTGATTTCGATGATTGAGATACATCGCAGCTCCTGCTCCACAACGACCAGTTCTTAGTCTATGGAATGCACGTAAACGTCTAAAAACGACATGATTAGTGCGCCTAAAACTGTAGTAGTATCGAGCGTAGTTTGAGGGCGAAAAATCGAATTATTTAAGGTAAGAATCGCTTTGTAAGTTACGGTGCAGTTAAGAAGGTTAGGGGGAGTGGATAGGTTAGAATTTTGGAGTGTTTCGAGTTTGTCTACATTGAAAGTTGGCGAACTTTTCGCGAGGAAAACTTAAAAGTTGATGAATTTGGCGTCTTTTCCGATGGATTTGGATATGGGTGCTCGCGGTTACGAACAAAAGGAGATGAAGTTTGCGCCTTAGAGATTTTTGGTTCATGGGAGCCACGTACCCGTCACGCTTGCAGGCTGCGGGTGTCATGGTGGCCGCTGCCGTGATCGCCCGTTGCCGAACAATCACGGTCGCGTGAAACTTGGGCTCATCGATACAGCAACGCTTCCTGTAAAAGCATCTACAGTGTATAAGTAACGACCTTACATTCGATATAATTCTGTTTGGCAAACATAAACACAAGTAGCTGTGATCCGATTTCGAAAAAACGAGATAATGTACCGGACTTGCAGGGATTATAAAGCCGACAGTTAAATTATTCAAGTAACGTCAAGAGTACGGTCTGGCACAGCAGGAGCAGCACGGCCACGAGCTTTTAGCTACGTTAATAAAGTCAAACCCTGATAATCATTTCGAAGTACGGCCGTTGAAAATTCTACGGCCCTGCGCAACTTGAAACAGTATAAGAAGAGACGATACCACAGCAAAAAACTACAACCACGGCACGGCTACTTAGAACAAGACGACCGTCATTACGGCAGAGGACTTTCGTGATCGATACGGTCGCGACGTAGCAGCCGTACCACTCGACGGGGTCGAACTTTGAACGAAAGTTTTCCGGTAAAGTAGAAATGTCGAACGGCGGAATGAAACAGATTTGATTTCGAAGAAGTTATTCTATTTTTAATTAAGAATTAAGAGCGGTGTCTGATGTAACAGTGATTTTATATCGCTTTTATGTGCCTTCATTTTTCCCAGCTTATTGTTAATCGTGAACAAGTTTTATTTTAACCCTTATGTACTCCATTTGCCGTGATAAACTTCTATAGAGAACCTTTAGCAAAGGCGCGCCTTATTGACCGCCTCGAGTCAGCTACGCTACCGAATGAAGAGTCAATCTTGTACACTGAAAGTGCAAAGAAAATTGTTTATGTGAAGAGTACGAAAATAATAAATAATAATAACGAAACAGAAGTGATTTCATAAATAATAAGGTGGCGTGAAATTTTTCGTAAGACTATTTTTATAACGTTATTAACAGTGGTATGAAGTTATTAGTTTACTGGTTACATAGGACAGTGCACTGAGTTCTAAAAATATCAAATCTTTATACTATCTTTTATAGATGTATATAAAATCATGTCAGATTCGCATCCATTACGGATGTATGCGTATCGTAGATGCGGGGTACTAAAAGCTACTAGTATGGAATTTAAATGGACCTAATTTATTCTACTTCATCATAAATCATGAAATTTAATTTAAAACCAGATTGTTAGCAACTATAATTCTAAAGCTTTCGTCGCCTTAAGAAATGCACCACTGGTACTTGATATTTGGCGGATATTTTTATCGATATTAGAAATTATTATTTCATAATAATTACGACGATCAATTTGGTTTATCCAGTATATAGATGTCAAGTTCCATCTCGATCTTTGAGATAGTAAAAAAATAGATGCTGACAAATGATTTCTAAGAATTGTCGAAATCGTATGTATACTTCGTTTCTAATACCAATATGCCTCAAGTTGAGTCTAATTTTGAATCGATTCTGATTAGTCTGATTAATTTAATTTTTAATTAAATCGATTTGTTCATTTTTGCCACGTGTAAAAATTTTCGATACAAATATTATATGATTTTGACCTTAATAGTACCATAAATTTAAAAAATGACTCGTATTAGAGGTAATTAGGACACCATTTTGTTTTCCAACACTCTTTTTTATACTCATTAAAACTGTTCGTACTGTAGAAAATGATATTATTGTATCAGTATCCAACTGATTCCTCTTGGCTACCTCATGGTAAAAACCTGTGTCATCATAAATAATCGTGCCACAGATACTAAACATGTGTAAGGTACATATATTTCATATACATGATATTCATTTCATCATATATAAATACGCCTTTCCTGCGTCAAATATATGAGTAGGAAGATGAGGCATATGGTATAACATTTGCCTACATATGTCCTTCTGACATATGTAGCAACGAGTAACCAAAACGCGAACTGTAACTTCCTGTGAACTGTAACTTCCTGTGTGCTGGGCTCCTTCCTAGTCCAGCACGTTACCAAACCAACCCATTATAGAAGTAAACAGACTCCCAATATTCTAGACCTGGTGTTTACCAGTGATGAATCAATGTTGGATGAGCTTCGTCACGAGGCTCCGTTGGGCAAAAGCCTTCTTTGTATTATATAATATATTTTATTATATTATATCAAACTACCTGATACTCTATTACCACTTAGTATGTTATTTAGGCACCACGTCTTCTATGCAATTACGCTGAGATAGTACCTGTGTCGCTCCGTTGCTCTTGTCAGCGAACGAGTGCTGTTACAATTATTGCAGATTCGTTAATGATTTTCGAAGTGCCGAAGACGAGCGGTTTTGATGTTGCTCTGCTAAAACTTCTGCTCAAGATACTAGGAATAATTGGAGTGTATCCTTGTTTTCTTCGGTTTTGTGCCAGATGATAAAGTCTGAATTTAGCGCATAATTTATTTTTTCCCCTATACCTTGAAAAATTTTACATCAACACAAAATTAAAAAATTTTACGGAATATTTGAAAAAAATTAAATTTATTTGCAAATTTTCAATAATTTTGTTTTTTAAACTACACAAAATTTACAGAAAAAATCATACAATCAAATTCTTCTTGTATTCCAAATATGAACTCGAAGCCGAGATAAGTTCAGTTTAGATGTTTGTTATGAAAACCTCAGTATTCTTTCACTTCAACTTGAATTGTTTACGGTATAGATACCGGCTTACTATCCTCAACAAATTTGACTATGAATGTGGTGATGAAATTTGATGTAACGTCATGTAATGATCGTCCCTCATTTCTAGATTAAATGTCTATGTTAAACTTTAATGACATTCAACTATTGAAAAAGGCCTTGTACTTCAATTACGATAGGTTTTTTATTTTTCACTTTGTTCCTGTAATAGACGGTGGTGGCAAAATATAATGTAATTTTTCATGCAACAATTGGACATAAAACAAAGCGTACCAATATGGCATTTGGGTCATCCAGCCAAGCAAGATTTCGTGCAGTTGTTGTATGCCATCTGTTAAATCACTGTGCTCGGATAAATTGTATCTCTCTTTAAATTATATTCAAATTCGTAAAAAACATTTAAAGTCCAGCTGAAATTCCAGATATTGGAATTTAATCGAAAGCATTTCTTATCAAGAACAAGAATTTCTTAAAACTCTTCCTGCGTTAAAACTATTTGAGGAAACTAATAATTTTATACATTCAAATTAAAAGATTTAGATATATGGTCTTTAAAGAGTTTGAGTTTGTTTCTGAACACTAAATTATATAACAGTTGGTATTAAGACATGTTTAGTTTGTAAAAGAATACTTCTTGATGATGCTTTATTAATTTTTTAATCAATATTTATTGGTTATCTCGACTGCTTATTTCTACAACATTAAACGATATTTAAAAAATCTCCCTAGATGGAAAACTTCACCGGACGAAGGGCTCAATCATGACTAAGTTTGAGATTCAAATACGCCAGGCCAAAGTTCTCATCAAGTCAGCTGTAGCCCTCAACTCAGCCACGATCAGGTACATGAATATTGCGGTCTGTTGTTGTGTCCGCCAATCATTGACGGCCTTTCAAGCCAAATCCACCAATCATAGACAAGAAAATAGAGCGTAAGTACTTACGAACACTTAGCGAGTTTTGAAAGTATGGCCCTGGTCTGTGTGTTTGTGTGAGTCTGTGTGTTTGTGTCGGTCAGTGTGTAAATGTGAGTCCGTGTATACGAGTATATGTCCGTGTGTGTGTGTGTGGTTTAAAAAGTACATTATCAATCGAAGGTAAATGATCAGGTTTTTTTGATCAGGGATGGTGCTCAAAAGATTCTTGTTGAAGTTGTTCGTTCTCAAAGACGTGTTCTCAAAAAGATGTTGCTCAAAAGATTTTTGACGGCAAAGATTCAAATTAAGATTGTGGGTAAATGATCGGTAACCTGTGATTTAAGCTGTTTATGTAAACTGTAATGATTCAATCGCTTATCTACTTACTGGTATAAAAGGTGAAAATGTATAGCTATTTTCTAAAATTGTGATTCATTTTGTTTTTCCATATTTTTCTAGTTCAAAAGCATCCGTAGAATATATTGGCAACACAATTTTAAATGATTTTCTTTAAATTTCTGCTTAATAGGAAGCTGACTATTGTTGATGGTTGTTGTTTTAAAACAAGTTTTACTATTCAGCTACACGCACACAAATGAATCAAATGATAATATTCTGAAATGATAATTAATTTCTTACTAGGTTCATCCTCTTAGGAAATGATGACACGGTTCTACCTGCAATCGAAGAATACGTGTCGCATTGGCCAGATCTTTTTCGGAATCGTCTACAGTTGAGTTATCGGCCTGTCATTATGCCAGAAAAATGGCATTTAATGGATTTCTACGAGAAATGTGTCACTGAAAAGTTGTTCCTGCACTGGGTGCTGTCTGATTTTGACTCCGTGGTGTATCTGGACACCGACCACGTGTTCATGAGACCTCCGGATCATCTGGTAGAGCACTTCAAAAACTTTGATGACACGCAAGTGCTCGGAGTCGCACCTGTAGATGGTTACTATTTGCAACACAGTGCAAGGGTAAATTGCTCATTATGTCGTTTTAAATGTACAATTGTTATCAAATCAACTAATTCGAAACGAAAATTATGAATTTAAGTTTGCACCTCAGCTCCACGCTTACTATAGTCTTCTCAGGTTCTGAGTCGGGGCTTGACCGGCCAGGATTCATGGCTGGGTGGTGCTGATGCATGAACAAACAATATTCTACCTCTGAAGGGCACTTGAACTGCATAACCTAAAATTCTTACTCACTTACTTTGGATGGAAATTACTATGTTTTGAGTATAGCGTTTCAATATTCTGTGTGTTCTGTTCATACACATTCAATATTCACTGAATGCATGCATCAGTAAATCATAAACAGCGGTTGACTACACGTTTAAAGAGGAAAAGATTAGGGACTAACCTGAAGACAAGTGCTTATTTCCCAAATTTTTAACCCATTATTAAGGCTAAAATTTTTCGGTTGAGCTCGCATGGACCTTATTGCTAAAATGTCTTACATGTGCAGATACCTTACTACGGGAGGCAAGGCTTAAGCAGCGCACTATTGCTGGCCAACCTTACACGGTGGCGTGACCTGCCTTTCGACTGGCTGCCCATGGTGACAAGTGTGGCCAAAGTTTTCAAGGAAGGCATTATTGGCGATCAAGATATACTTAACCTCGTTTTCAGTGAGGTATGAATCCATAAATAATATTTTCCTTCGTCAACTTGGTTTATTTTGATTACAATTAAATTTCCTCTTCGTTGAAGTTCTATTATAAATCTCGTTATGAATAATAATTATAAATCTCGCAATATAAAATTCTCCGGTTAAATAAATGTTGAAGAATCAAAATTTTTTCCTTGGCACATATCCTTGCAAATTTTTACGGCAATAATTCACATAAACTCTAAAGTTATAGAAAAAGACACTCATCCTACTGCAATACGTGAACTGCAAAGGTGAAGATGGCCAGTTCGTGAAGAATTTGAGGAATTTGAATGGATTTTTTTTGAACGTCTTACAGATCTTTAAATTATAATTTATAAATATGGGTGCCAAAGTGATATGAATTACTCACTTTAAAAAAAACGCAAAGCGGTATGTCCACCCGCCCGTAAAAAAAACACATTACCATGTTGCCGTTTCTTTTTAAATTTAAGACAAAAAAAGCCGGACCATATTTAAACAAAATATAACTCAGTACTCACTGCAGTGAGTGACAGAGAGCGCATTTTCTCGTCGACGAAAACACGCGAAGTCACGGACGGACAGACAGTCGAACAGACAAGACGAGCACAATAGGGCATTTTTTCCATACATGAGATAATGCGCTAAAAAACGGCGAATCGGATTATTTTCAAGGGGCAGCCGATTATTCGTGAAAACTACGCCTGGGTAAGCCTTTCAGAAATCATCATAAGGGACCGGGCGTTTACAATATTCACATGAACTGTGGCCGTATTACCCGACCTCGCTTGAATGCACGTTGCGGCTATTTCTCGTACGTGACTCAGAAGTACAGCTTGACAAACCGTCAGTGATTGGTTGATTAAAAATTTACGAAGTCACAACTTTTTGTACGCCCTCATGATTCTTTGTCGTCAGTTTCCAGACTACATCTACGACCTGAGCTGTGACTGGAGTGGCAGCATCGAGCAGTGTTTGACAGTGAACTGGAACTGCAGCTCCATCGAACAAACCGGCTTTTCGTTGGTGCACGGCGCAAGATCAAGATTTTTTGCTGAAGATCTTTGGAATAATAGAACTATTTCTCAAGAATTGCCGTATGTCATCCCAATGGAGGTATTTAACTTTTCTTATCCATCTAATTCAAGTTGAACATTCTTATGGTATGGATTAGAAGTAATAGCGCATAATTTTCATAGATTCATGCCTTCACTCATTAAAATGAATGCGCCATTGTCCAAATAGTGACATATTATATTACTCACAGAAGCACAGATCGGACGTAACACTGATAAGCCATTTGCCGTGCCGAATTGTGTCCGGTGAACCAACACACGGCCGAAACATGCATCACTATTCAGACAGTCTTGCTCAGTTCTTTGATTGCTTATATATGTACTGTGCTATGTATATATGAACTGTAAAATCGTCACGTGTTCCACCGTATTGTCTCATATTTTATATGACGGTTGTAATTTTGGGGGCATGGGAATAATTACTGCCATCATTGCTTAAATTCCATCTTTGAGTGAAATTGCACGCAGAAAAATGAGTGATGCTCTGTTCAGATAGCGATGTATTTTCTGCCATTGTATGGGTCACCTTACACCCTATTTGTCCCGGCAAAAAAACGTAATATAATTTGCTACGTCCGCTCTCTGCTCTTGCTGTGTATGAGAGTTTGAAAGACGATATTTCAACATGAATCACCATGACGATATTTATTTAGAATCATTGCTAATAATCTGATAAATACCAATGAATTATTTGATACTTCCTAACGAAGAATCTGCATCAGAATTTTATTACCATTTAAAGAGGTAATAAGATAGAGCATGATTTCATAAACGCGATTATCGAGGCCATTTTTTATAATTATATTCCTTTGAACCGTAAAGCGCGTAAGTGTTCAGCAACTTAGCGAAAATACCTGGGGCCATACTTTCTAAATTCGCTAAGTGAACGTAAGTAATTACGCTCTATTTTCTTGTCTATGATTGGTGGATTTTGCTTGAAAGGCCGTCAATGATTGGCTGATGAACTTACGATCTCTTAACTTTTTTTGAAAATATAGGCCCTGGTGTGTGAGCAATATTTTGCTTAACTCAACTGACGATTAATTTTTAGGTTTCCATTAATTTATACACTGTTTATTAAACTATCCGCAATTACATCCTGTCACTTACGTTTTTGATATATTTCTGTTTTTTTTTTTTAATTTCCTTTTTCAGGCTCCATTACGGAGAATAATGCACTTCTGGAACAATATCATCTTGAAAAGAAACGATTTCATCCTTTGACAGATTAAAACTTTTATAAAACTTCAATCCTGCTTTTGGCTGCCTTTAAATAATACTAATTCATTTTTTCTCGCTTAACTCCGTGCAGGAGATTTTCGTTGCATGGGAGAGGCATGACTTGACTGATTCCTTGTCAGTCTTACTTCAAAATTTGACCAAAAATCTTCGCACACGAGAAGATGAGCTGCGGAGAGCGCAGGCGAGCCATAAAGAAAATCTGTTTTGCCCCTACAGTTTCGAGAAGCTCCTGAAACAATTGAAAGATCTCGTCAACTTACTCTCCTAATTATACTATTTATATTACTTGGTTTCAGATTTTACAAGAACATATAATGAAAAAATTGTGAGTCATAAATCGCTTCCCAAACGCTAGCTTGGAAATTAAGGCGAATGAAATTTATATTTCAGTTACGCTATTTAAAAATTGAATTAAGGATTCCTAAGATCCTTTTCCTAAAACTAAAAAATGCTGCAAACTAGTGGAATGAATTTACATATAGCACAAACTGATGAACATGTTTCCTGTATCCGTTTCCTTCGGGTTATCAATTTTATGAAACTTCTTGGAAACTAATGTACGCGGAGCCAGTAGTGGCACCACTGTGACGTTATTACACTCTATTTTTCATGATATTATCATTATCAATCACACTCTTATAACATAAACCATCACACTCTCCATTGACAGTTGTCTCCATTACAATAAGAGTATATTGTGGAGCGATCGCTGAACGCAGAATCGAGCCCGAGCGGCCTCACACGGTAAAATTTCACGCCTATTCGGTAGGAATTGAATGCAGTCAGGAATAAGACAACCGCAAGCTTGCCTCCCTCACCTCCATCCAATTGAACGTAGAGAGAACAAAGTAGACATATGCTGATTTGAAAATGCATTTGTAACGATTGGTTGCGCTGGTGTAAGGTGCAGGGAGTGGAGGATGGGAATAGGAGGAAAGAAGTGTAAGAGGTTTACGCAATTTGCAAGGAAATTGCGATCAGTTAAGAAAAAATAGAACAAATTTACGCTCCAAAAACGGATAGAAATGGTACGCGCCAGCAACAGCAAATTAATGAATACCTATCGAAAGATGTGAAATGAATAGTTTCCTACTACATTAGTCAAGAGTTTGTGCTTGTATTATCTTGAGATTGTGATTCGAGAAAAAGCTTATTATGGTTGAGGACTTCTTATAATCCCCAGCTTGAAATCCTAACTCCTAGAGCCGTAGATGTGGAAATTAAGGAAGTAAGTAGTCCGTGGGCAGCTGTGGTTAGGGTTGGGGAACTTAATATAAGTACTTCTCTTAACCTTAAAATGAATGTTGTTTCATTCCAAACGTTGTTATTATATTATTATTCCTTGCTAAACCTGCATTTTGATCTACCAATTAATGTCATCTAAAGAATTGTTCGACTAATTGAAAATATTAATGCAATTTCTGGTAATCAATTGTGCGCATCAACAGGAAAATTCGGCCATCTAATAGTAAAATTATCTTTATGTACGTACGTGATTTGAAGAAAAATAACAGGAATAGCATTCCAAATTCTAGACTTATCTTAGTTAGGACGTTAGTTATAGCTTGAAGAAATAGTTAAGAAACCTCATAGGGCTGGGCACCGCCTGACGGCGGGACCTCAGCCGCTTAATTCTTTAATTTTGCAGCCAGTGTTGATATTTAATGCCAAAATATGTACTATGTAAGGCATCATCTCCAAAATATGTAAGGTATCATCTCCGATGTTTGTGTTAGACAGGAATGTTTTAGATATAACTGACCGTTTCTCGTCTATTGGTGTTTGTTACTCGCGACAGACCAATAGTACATTGACCGGCGACTCTATTTTCTTTTTATGGCTTGAATAATCATTGTCAGTGCAAGAGGAGCTTGTGGATAGGATGACTACAGTATCGCTAATCTTGAATGATGCGTGCGTGAAAGATGTTTCTGATGTATTAGCGTCAGAAGATGCAAGCGAAAGTGACACGCGATCTAATATTTTGTCAGAAATGAGTAGTCATGTGAAAAGTGTTGAGCAGAATGCAACAAATTTTAGATTAAACAAAGACACTTGGCAACGCAGATGTCCGTTAGAATCATCAGTAAACGATCTGGTATATCAACGAAGCATCTGATGTGTTGTTGGAACTACCTACTGATGCGTCCTTGTATCGCAGGACTATACACGTTCTCATGGTCCTGTGACCAAGTATCCTCGGGTACAACCAAGAACACTCGAGTATAAGACGTATGACAGACTGTTATGTTTAGAATAATACATACAAATTTATTTGAGCTTGATGTTTGCGTGGCGTTTTACTGTACGTGGGCGTTTTACTGTTGTTGCTGCTGCTCTACGAGGACGTTGTTACTGTTGCTGCTGCTGCTCTACGAGGGCATTGTTACTGTTGCTGCTGCTGCTCTACATGGGCGTTGTTACTGTTGTTGATGCTGCTCTACGAGGGCGTTGTTACTGTTGCTGCTGCTGCTCTACGAGGGCGTTGTTACTGTTGTTGCTGCTGCCATGAGGGGGCGTTGTTACTGTTAATGCATTGAAAATTAAAATGTACAGCATGCGGCTCGTGGGCCGCCAACTATTTATAAGTATCAATAATTATATTATGTAATCGTGGTTAATATAAATAAAGTTATCATGATATGGTTGTTATTATTCATCGATATAAATAAGAATAATTTGATTGTCATAATTTATTAACACTAATTGCTATTGACAGGATCGACACCAGTGAATTTTAAACGCTTTACCTCGTATCCTCCAGTTAGAGTCGAAATAAAAAAGTGTCGATGTGTGGAATGTTAAAATTTGCTCAAGTTTGATGCGAAGGTAGTTTGATACTGTTCTTCAACTTACTAAATAAAGTACTAACATTTTCAGCTCTTTGCTGACTGGCAGTGGTGGGCACAGGTCCGCTAATCCGCTAATCGCTAATTAGCGAAGCTAACTTTTTCCTTATCGGATTAGCTGTTCAGCAAACTTTGAAAACCTTTAGCGGACCAATTAGCTTCCGCTAAATTTAGTTTCGCTAACTGGAAGTCCGCTAAAAATGTTTAAAAATCTCTGATTTAATGTTAAGTATTTTAAGCCATGTGCCACGCCCACACCTATACTGCAGTCCTCTGGTGGACGCAATGCTGGCAGGCATCACGAAAAGGTTTGGGTCCCTCCTAGAAGACAAGGAGTGCCAGTTGGCAGCGTCCTTCCACCCTAAGTTTCGCCTGCTCTGGCTGGAAAAGCATAATCACAGCCATCTCAGCAGGGTACAGAAGGCCATGGAGACCGCCGTGGAGACAGCCCTGAGGGAGACCGTTGAGGAGGGCAGCAGCACCACCAGCAATGACGAGGATGGGGAAGATGACTTCTTCAGCCGCATTACTCAGCCCATGGAGTGCAGGAGGAGCCACTGGTCACTGAAGTCCAAGGCACAGAATTTGGTGAAGACCATGCAGGCTGGAAAGCAGCTCGAAGGAGGAATTGACTGACGTTGCCTTCTTGGGCGAGCAGGTGTTGATGAACCTTTTCGTTGAGTACAACACAGCCATCCCATCCAGTGCTGCAGTTTATCGGTTTAGCGTTATCGAAGCTAACTTTTCAGTTAGCGGATTAGCGGTTATCGAAGCTAACTTTTAGGTTAGCTGTGCCCACCACTGCTGACTGGACATGAACAACAACTTGGAAAATGCACGCCTGAAAGTTTCATTTCTTTACTTTTGTAGATATTATGTTTCACTGTTGAATAAAATTGATTGGTGCGTCCCAGTTGTCACTAGGGTACTTCCATACTTGGGTACAAACATTCTGTACAGTGCTGTGAAGTGCGGGTATGTGCTGTGCAGAGTAAAACAATGTTGTGCTGTGCAAATAAGAAACGTTGATGTGCATTGTGCATTGCGGTACAGAGCAGTGTTGCGCTGTGCTTTACAGTGAAGAGTTGTCCTGTGCAGTGCAGTGCAGCGCTATGATATTGAGTTCAGGTTACTGATGGCAATATGACATTGCCTTGTTTGTGTGTCCCGCCTATTGCGGTGCACAGCCTTGTTTGTGTGTCCCACCTATTGCGGTGCACAGCCTTGTTTGTGTGTCCCACCTATTGCGGTGCACAGCCTTGTTTGTGTGTCCCACCTATTGCGGTGCACAGCCTTGCTCATATACCCATTAAAACTCGGCCAGTTCTATTTAAACCCATGAAGCGCCATTGAATTTTTTGTGAGGTACCTTGTTGGAAACGCGTTTTTGAGGACCGCCTGGAGAGAGAGAGAGACGAATGGTAAGAATGGAGGCCTACCTGGACGGTGGAAGAAAATTTTAACACCATTTTCCTAACCAGAGTAGGGAATGAGGATATCCGTCGAACTTCTTCTCGGGTGTGAGTTGTGCAAAACTTCTGGCCAAGGGCAAGAACTCGCCCAAAGCACAACTTTCATTTTCAGCGTAAGTAGGTTGCATGAATGCAGACCTCCATAATTATGTTAGAAAACACTCATTTTCTAAACATGATTTGTAAAAGTTTGGGATAATTTAGGGACCGGCATTATTATGCTGTATGAAGTATGAAGAAAATTGCATTTCAACAGGCAGATCGAAGAAAAATGATTGTTCCTGAAAATTTTTGACTTTATGAAATTTTGAGATGAAAATCCACGGCAGTATTTGATACAAATTCATATTTGCGCAAAATATTCTATATTAGACTATTTGAGAATATTTGTAATTTGATGGGTAACTTATGTGAAATAATGTTCCTGCTCGAGACCGCAGCATTGAAGTTTCAAAAAATGAATGGATGATAGAAATTCGTCTGTATCTTACGAGTATATTATAATTCAAAATAAAAAATCTATAATTCGTGTTAACTGATCCAGGAATGGCTTACGGAAATTACATAATTTTAAATTTTTCCCAATGTTCACCTCAAAATGAGCTTTTAATATCTGATCATCTGTATCGTTCTTTCGAAAGGAATTGGGAGAACGAAAGGAAAAAAAGTGTTTAGGAAAACATAGTGAGATGAGGGAGAAGAATAAAGTTGAAAATCCTGACAATAATTCAGAATTGTATCTTGATATATATAAAAATGGTGTCCTGGATATTCTGAAACATTAGGAGCCATAAATATAGAATGAAACCTAATTGACCTAACCGAAGGATGAATGAATATAAAATGAAACCTAATTGATTTAACCGATCTAACCTAACCTGTGCGGTACCAGACTAAACGAGATGTTCTGAAAACCGGATAAAGGATTAAAAAGTTAAGGATTCCATTATTAAATGACATTTAAGTCGCTTTGACGACATTAACTGGGTTTGGCAGTGAGAGAAAATGCGATTGTGTCAAATGGCTTTCAAAATTTTCCAAGCAATGAGAACCTTGTTTTGTCGCCAACAGCACTAGACGCAACAGGACCAAGGTAATAAATGATTATGTCACACCCATGAATATTATTTAAATTGTGAATTGGATTATTTAGGCTTAATTTAATTTATCAATAATTTTTCCAATAATAATAGGCACTGGCTGGGCCCTAGCTGGGAATAGTTTTCTACGGGAAAATATATAGAAAACTTCATCATTATAAGAGAGCCTCTTGTATAAATTTTATAATGCATGTATAAATTAAAATGCACTGCATGCGGCTCGTGGGCCGCCAACTATTCATATGTATTAATAATTATAATATAGTAATCCTAATTATTGTATATTATCATGATATGGTCGTCATAATTCGCGAATATTAAGAGTCACAATACGGCCATCATAATCCATACCATAAATATTCATATTATGGCCGTTGGCCATAATATGGCCAACGGCCTCGTTGTACTTGTTGTTGTTGTTCCAACGTAAGAACGCACTTGTTGGCCTCGTTGACATTATTCGTTTGGCATTCAATTTTACATCAAAGACTTTTTACCAGAAGCATAACCGTTAAACTCGTTGATGTCTGCTTCTTGAAAACGTATTAGATGAAAGTAGGCTCACAACGGGCAGCTACTGGCCGCTGCTAGCTATTGGCCGCTGAAGCAGGCAGTAAGCCTGTACACGAGGCCACTAGCCCGATTATTCTTGGCTATATTACTGTTAAATTTGAGTGGCGCAAAAGAGGCCACGTGTCTAAGGTTCAAGTAAAGACGATTCCAAGTAGATTCGGAAATTAACCACAAACTGCCACCGATCCTCAACAAGGGAGAAATGAAAGTTGGATAACAAATATTTATTAACTAAAGACAACAAAACAAAACTTAACTAATGGAAAAGCTAACTTATAAATAAGTTATAACACGAACGCAGAATACAGGTCGAATGGTTCCCGATACTGAGAGTACACGCAACTGAGGATACTCGCAATTAAGGACACAAGTAACTAAGGACACAATATGCTAAAGGAAATTTGCTAAGGACACAATATGCTAAAGGCAATGTGCTAAGGACACAATATGCTGAAGGCAATGTGCTATGGACACAATATGCTGAAGGCAATGTGCTAAGGACACAATATGCTGAAGGCAATGTACTAGGGATACGACATGCTAAAGAAACAAAATGCTGAAGACACAATATGCTGAAGACGCAATATGCTAAAAACACAATATGCTGACACACAATATGCTGAAGACGAAATATGCTGGAGACACAATATGCTGAAGACGCAATATGCTGGTAGAGACTTGAATAAGTGGCGGACCCTTCTCTAGAAGCACCGCAGTCGTTGGCCAACGTAGGAGCCGTACTTATACTTGTTGGCCAGGCAAGAAATCGATCCTGCCAAACTATGATGGTGAGCTAATCTAGTTACACAGATAAATAGCAACACTATTAATTACCAGTTGACAGAGCTGGGCAGCGCTACCTGGAAATGTAGCGGCGCTACCGCTACCGCTACATGCTCTAAATGTAGCGGGCGCTACCGCTACCGCTACATGCTCTAAATGTAGCGGGCGCTACCGCTACCGCTACATGCTCTAAATGTAGCGGGCGCTACCGCTACCGCTACACCCACTAGATTGTAACGGGCGCTACCGCTACCGCTACAGTAAAATGTAGCGCGCTACATTAGCCACTACAATGGCCAAAATTATTGGAAATCTCTAACTATTTATTGTTCTGCTATTGAGATTTACTCATTAACATTTAATGATAATAAAACATTTTTAAAACATATCAATGCAACTTTATTGCAATTAACCTAACCGAACTAGTATGGGTTACCCCAGGGTTAGATACAGTAAATAGAAGTTACAGTTATTTTTATGTTTTACCTTCCCATCATGGATGTGAACTTTAATCTACCAAGAAATTATCCACATATACATATAAAAATCAGTCTTTTTTTGTATATATATGTGGATTATTTTTGAGATTGGTAGATTAAAGTAGACATCCATGTAAGGAAGGTGAAACATAAAAATAACTGTATAAAAATAACTGTAAGCAAACTGAAAGATGAAAAAATACTGTAAGTGGTAACTGGTAACAACTTAACAAGTAACAACTAACATGTTGACACTAGTAACAGGCTGAGGTTGACAACATTACACCGAAATCTTTCGTACAGTTTTATTCTGTAATTTATATTATGTAAGTATCATGCTGGTTTTCAAATAATATTTAATACTATTAAGGGGACCGGCTACCCTAAAAATCGGAAATTTTGGCTTTACCGTTTCTTGACTTATTTTGTAATTTTGTAGCTGCTGAAAAGGCGCGTCTAACGCAGTTTACCGCATGTCTGTGCGTGCTATAATTTTTGCGTAAGACAATTTTAAAAATATATACATGAACATTTTTTAACAATATGTACAAAGATTTATTTGAATTAAATCTCTATATATAGATCATTACTCTCGTTAATTACAAAGTGTTTGCACTCGTTTGAAAGCTACAAACGAGACGCGTTCAACAATGCTACTACCATAGATGTACATGCAATACTTTTTTGTGTAATGCAGTCTTGAACTTTTATAAAATGATAATTTTATATCATTATTTACAAATAAATGGTATTTATATGTCATTATTTAGGTTAATTGCAAAGTGTTTGCACTCGTTTGAAAGCTACAAACAAGACGCGTTTAACAAAACTACTACCATGGATGTTCATGCAATAGTTTTTGCGTAATGCAGTTGTAAAGTTATGTAAAATGAATATTTTATATATATATGGGGGGGGGGTAAAAATGTGAAAAAATGGGACGAACGCAAAGAAAAAAACGATGAGGAAAATCAAAAATCGGGGCTCTACAGTCGCTAGATATTGTTGTTACAAATCGAATGATACGTGTCTCGACATTGTACCATTTTATTTGCAAAAGTTATAAATTTTTTTAGAGTACCCCTTATATGCCGTTTTCTATTAATTCCATGTTTTCTTTCATTGTTTTTAAATTTACATGAACAAAAAGGTCTTAGATTTCTGTTTCACATATGAGTACCTAGTTTCAAAACGATCCGTCTGTAAACAAAAAAGTTTTGTTGGAGGGTAGCCGGTCCCCTTAAGTAAAATCTGAAGGCTTTATCTATAAATGTAGCGGTAGCGCTGTAGCGGCAAAACCTCGTATCGCTACTTAAATATGTAGCGGGCGCTACCGCTACCGCTACATTGCCTTAAATGTAGAGCCGATACCGCTGCTGAAAATGTAGCGGCCGCTACATGTAGCGAGCTACTGCCCACCTCTGCCAGTAGAGAATAATTCATATTGACGGATCGAATAACACTTATTGGCAAATTCAAAAGCTGAATTAAAAACACAGAATTAGCCTGTCTTCTACCTATTTCTACTGCAACTCACCTACAAGGGACGCTACAGTCACAAGAGTATATTGAGAGGAAGGTGCGCTCCGACCAAGTCTCAACGAAATAATGAATGGGTATCCAAACGCGGACTTCAGCCCGGGGATGCCACGTCAGCACACGCGACACGGTAGCCAACTATACCGGTGACGGTATACCGTCTAACAGAAAATAATTTAAACCGTAACAAAAATCTGACAATGGATAAATTTCCCTTAAATGCTGTCATGAGTCGTCACTTCAGGAGCGAATGGACGGGGTTTCTCTGGCGCTTAAAATTTACTTTTATTTGCAATACGGGCGGTAACGAAGTCATGGTGAAATACCTGAAACTTTGTAAACAGACAAAGTTTGTTCAAATAATTTTTGAAACAGTTAAACTTATAGAGAACATATTCAGTATTAACTAGTACGTCTTGTTAAAAAAACTGTGGAAATTTTGAAACTCCTAGGTATATCGTGCTGGACGTCTCGTCTCGTTCCGTCTTCGTATCGTCCCGGAATTCCCACCGCGAGCTGAAACCTGTCCTGATTTTCATCGCTAATCGGGACAAAGCTTCTTGTCTCATCTGGAATAGGAAAAAAGTACCAAACGCAGAAGTGTACACTGCATGTACGAGTTTTCCCTCTTCACACGAAGCCAAGCACGTAATGACGCAGAGGCGCTGCTGTTGTTCCACTTATGTTCTATTAACCAAACTCCGAATATCAGATGGGTTGTTTCGAATATTAAAAAGTATTTACTTCGTTCAGCCAACTTTTTTTAGTGAGAATTTACAGGAGTTTTATTCGCGTTTAAGAATTGATAACAGTGAAACATAATTATATAATATCTTAAATTTGGTTAGTTAGTGAAAAGGTAAATTTCGAATAACTTAGGTAAAAGCTGTAACAAAAATTGGTGATCAATAAAGTTCTAGAGGTAACAAAAGGATTTATGCATGACATTTACAAAAAATAATAGCGCGAGTTACGAATTGAAGTCACTACATTAGCAAGAAAATGGGCAACTGAAGGTTTGAGCAAAAATGTAACTTGGAGGCTTACAGCGTTTATGTGAAAAACCGATTATAGTTATTAATGTATAATTTAAATAGTAAGAAATGTAGGTTTCCTTTGAATGATATTTCCGTCACACGATGGCTATTGCCTTCTTAGGTTCACTCTTATAGTTCTGAGGCTATTTTGAAGGGTGGTTTTGGTGTTTTTTTTGCAACTAAAATCTGGAGCTCTGCATGACGAGGACAATGCATGCTGACGAGGAAGCCGGTGAGGACAATGCTGACGAGGGGGCAGGTGAGGACAATGCTGTCGAGGAGGGCAGGTGAGGACGATGCTGTCGAGGGGGCAGGATGTCGAGAGGGACAATGCAAACAAAGGCTATACATGAGATATTCTCAGGTGGCACGTACCAGAGTTCATTTAGGGGAACCAACCCTAGGCCATTCCGGAAGCACCGCCTTCGACGGCAACCAATCGCCGCCCGCTAGTGACACCGAGAAATGAACTGAGCTCCTGAGCTACCACGGCTAACTTCTCTTATCTCGGTGCCGCTACCACTGCGATAAGAGTAGCGCTAACCACTGCGCCGCGATGGCGTTGCCGAGGGCAACCACCAGCGCCGGCAGGGGTTGCGGTCCAGGAACCAGGCCCTGAGGTCAGGGTATGTGTGGGGCTCAGGCCTGCCAGTCGCAAGTGTCCCCACGCGCTGCCGTGAACTGAGAATACGACAAAATAATTTTACATGAAAGAATTATGTACTCCAGTGAACCATATGAACAGCGTTCACTGTATACTTCACTGTATACTGTTCACTGTATACTGTTTTTCATGATAAAAATTAATATTAACCATCACTTAAGTAGTTTCGCATTAAAAAAACATTATTTAATATTATTTAGACGAAAACAAACGGAAAGCCAGCCTGAGTGGTAATAAATAAATTGAGCATTCTTCCAGTTACACGAAAAAATGAACGCAGTAAAATAAATGAAGAAAAAACACAAGAAAGACTAAGCAATACAAAAATAGCAAAGAAAACTCCGCAAAATTCCCCATATCTTTGCGGAACACTTTCAGAACCCGGGTCTATCATAAGTTCGAAAATTTTAGAACATGAATACAATCCAGGGTTGATGAATTTTTTTACTATAAAAAAAGTCAAAAAATAAAAAAATCAATGATTTTTTTTATTTTTTTCATGCTTTTTTTATTCATTTTATTTTTTCAGCTTTTTTGTCTTTTTGAAATGTTATTTTTTATGTTACAATTAGCCAACTGACAATAACAGTATATGGGTCAAAATGGATGGCTAAAAAGGCACTTTTTGCCTTCAATATGTGCCAAGGTGGTGTTTGCCACTTTGGGATTTTTGGGTAAACAATTATTGATAAGTATATTCATTAGCTTTGTAAAGTTTGTATGGAGCAAGGTAACAAGCTAAATATTGAGCATTTAACTGGCTTCAATATACAAAAACAATTCAGGAATGTGGATCTTCTAAACATTGAAGAGTCACATAACAGATAGGATACACTTCAGGAACGTGGATCTTCTAAACATTGAAGAGTCACATAACAGATAGGTAGCTGATAGCACAGTGCAATACATTATCAATAGATCTACTAGTTTTATGTCCTATTAATCTACCAGACTCTACCCTCTAAACACACCAACTAGTATTGACTGAGTGACTGCCTGCACTGTTTCCATTTGAATTCAGGGTTGGCAATGATTAAAACAAAATGATGAAATCATGTGATTAAATCATTTGAGTTTTTTATAAAAAATCATGATTATTTTTATTTATTTTATTTTTCATTTTTTATATATTTAAATATATGTAGTGTCAGTCTTTAATTTATTATGAGGTATTGTTATTTATAGTTTAGTATAAATGTACTATGAATGACAAATTGGTATATAAACTTGTTGCCTTTAGCGTGTATTAGGTTCCAATAAATTGAATGTTTTTGGTACAAAGTGTTGCAAAACATTGTACATAGCTAGCAGCTTAGCTAATTCTTATATGCTATTCTTCTTAGCCATTTGAATATTTGTTATATATTGATAACAATATACAATTCAAATGTGTTAGCTAGCTTATACAAAGTGCGGCTGAACCGATTGAGCAGTTTTGAGGCGAAATAAAAGGGTAATGAAGGTACATAAAAAAGAAAGTTTATTTCTTCGAGATTAGCATAACATACCATTTAAAATACTTATGTTTTGAAAACAATACCTGGAAGATGGTGTTTGTTAGCTGCATCACACTTGGAGTCATTCTCGGAAGTTTCGTTCAGCACGTTCCCAAATATGGCGAGGTATGGCCACAACCTCTGCTGCAATAATCCGTTGCCTTAGCTGTGGTAGGGTGTGAGGGCGATTCCTGAACCCATTTCTTTAAGATGTCCCCAAGAAAGAAATTGCAATTGCTCAAATCAGGTGACCTTGTAGGCCAATGTAAATCACCCCTCAGAGACACCATACGTCCGGCAAACATGCGTTTCAAAACATTGAGTGACATTCGGGCTGTGTGAGCTGTAGCCCCATCCTGCTGGAACCACACGTCTCCCAATGCTTCATTTTCAACAATGTTTTCCATCCTGGGCTGCAAGAAATTTTGCAACATACATTGCAGCATAGCATTCGGAATTCACTGTCACGGTTACTCCCTACTCTGAGAACGACTCCAACAGTGTGCTGCAGCTAACGGCCCCCATATTCCAGGTATTGTTTTCAAAACATAAGTATTCTAAATGGTATGTTATGCTAACCTCAAGGAAAATAAACTTTTTTCTTTATGTACCTCCATTACTCTATTATTTTACCTCAAAACTGCTCAATCGGTTCTGCCCCACCCTGTATATTGAGAGGTTGAGATTGTATTGACCTTTTAGGCTATTAGAAAGGTTTTCCACCCTAAAACCAGTAATCTAATTAAAATATTTAATTTCAATCTTTACATATGTGAATTTATAACTAGAAACAAAACAATTACAATTACAAGACTATATATAAAGTGATTAAATGCAGTGAATGGATTTAAAATATTTGAATTGTGCACTTGTTTATTTCAAACAGTGTTAGCTTTTTTTCATAAGTTATGTCTCATTTCAAGTCATTTGAGGTTTGTCTGGTTATCGTTTAGCTTATGTTTAGTATTGGTTTATTGGTCTGAATTAAATGGGAACAGTGCAGTCAGTCACTCAGTCACTACTAGTCGGTGTGTATAGAGGGTAGAGTCTGGTAGATTTATAGGACATAAAACTAGTAGATCTATTGATAGTGCTGTGCACTATGCTATCAGTTACCTATCTGTTGTGTGATTCTTTATTGTTTAGAAGATCTGCATTCCTGAAGTGTTTTTGTATATTGAAGCCCGTTAAATGGTCAATATTTAGCTCATTACCTTGCTCCATACAAACTTTACAAAGCTAATGAATAGACTTATCAATAATTGTTTAACCAAATTTTCCTAAGTGGTAAACACCACCTTGGCCTGTTGGCCATTATTGAAGGCAATAAGTTCCCTTTGTAGCCATCCATTATGATCCATATACTGTTTTGTTAGTAGGCTAATTGCAACAGAAAAAATAACCTTTCACAAAGACAAAAAAGCTGAAAAAAATCAAATAAATAAAAAAATTATGAAATAATAAAAAAATCATTGATTTTTGATTATTTTTATTTCTTTATAAAATCAAAAAATCACCAACCCTGCATTTGATTCAGAAAAATAAACCAATACTAAACATAAACCGAACGATAACCAAACAAACCTCAAACAACTTGAAACGAGACTAATGTTATGAGGAAAGCTAACACTGTTTGAAATAAACATATGCACAATTCAAACATTTTATTTCCATTCACTGCATTTAATTATATATATATATATATATTTTATAATTGTAATTGTTTTGCCTAGTTTTAAATTGACATACATAAAAACTGAAATTAAATATTTCATTTAGAATACTCATTTTATGGTGGAAAATCTTTCTAATTGCCTAAAAGGTCAATCCAATCTCAACCTCTCAATATACAGGGAGGGGCAGAACTAATGAGCAGCTTTGATGCAAAATAAAAGAATATTGGAGGTACATAAAGAAGAAAGTTTATTTTCCTCAAGGTGAGCATAACATACGATTTAGAATACTTATATTTTGAAAACAATATCTGGAAGATGGTGGCCGTTAGCTGCAACACAGTGTTGGAGTCGCTCTCGGAAGAGGGAGTAACCGTGACAGTGAATTCCAAATGCTATGCTGCAATGTTGCAAAATTTCTTGCAGCCCAGGATGGAAAACATTGTTGAAAATGACGCATTGGGAGACGTGTGGTTCCAACAGGATGGAGCTACAGCTCCCACAGCCCGAATGTCACTCAATGTTTGAAACGCATGTTTCCCGGATGTCTGGTGTCTCTGAGGGGTGATTTACAGTGGCCTGCAAGGTCACCTGATTTGAGCATTTGCGATTTCTTTCTTTGGGGACATCTAAAAGAGAGGGTGTTCGGAAGTTGCCCTCACACCCTACCACAGCTAAGGGAGCGGATTATTGCAGCAGAGGTTGTGGCCATACCTCGCCATATGTGTGAATGTGCTGTAGGAAACTTCCGAGAACGACTCCAACAGTGTGATGCATCTAACGGACACCATCTTCTTAATATTGTTTTCAAAACATTAGTATTTTAAATGGTAAGTTATGCTAATCTCGAGGAAAACAAACTTTCTTCTTCATGTACCTCCATTACTCTTTTATTTCGCCTCAAAACTGCTCGATCGGTTCTGCCTCACCATGTATAAGTTAGCTAACACATTTAAGTCGTATATTGTAATCAATATATAACAAATACGTAGTCAAATGGTTAAAGACTACTTATAGCCTTGTAAGAATTATCTAAGCTGCTAGAAGAATTATCTACAGCTATGTACAACGTATTGCAACACTTGATGCCTCTGTACCAAAAAAATACAATTCATTGGATCCTAATACACATTAAAGGCAACAAGTTTGTATTCCAATTTGTCATAGTACATTTAAACTAAATCATGAATAACAATACCTCAAAATAAATTAAAGACTGCCACTCAATATATTTAAATATAGGTATAAAAAAATAAAGAAAAAATCATGATTTTTTATAAAAAATCAAATGATTTAATCACATGATTTAATCAATCTTGATTTAATCAATGCCAACCCTGATACAATCAGTAGTAAGTACCGACATAATTAAACAAGACAAAACCTATCTATTTACAATTTCAAGTGGATAAGAGCAATAAACTGTATTCAAGGTAGGCCTCTATTTGAAAATATGTAATGATTCTGAAATCTGAATATCAGAAGCATCGGAAAACGCAGCTAAAATATTAGTCCATACCGGATACTGGAACGTCAGACATTCTCGGTGTGAGTGCGCACGATAATGTGTGAATACAGTCGAATGAGGGGAGAGGCACGAGGGGAACGCGCTAGTAAATAGGTAGTCATAGAACTACTCCCTTCCCGCAGCAAAATTTTCGGCAGGCCAGAACTTCTACTGCTATCTTGCAAGAGTTGGGTTAATGTTATTCTGGGCCTGCTTTGCCACCCAATCAAAATCAGTGACTAGTCAAAATCTCATTGTCGAATCTATTGTCGCCTGCGAGTATGAGAACAAGTTTGAAAAAGTCTACCGAGCCTGCAAGCTGCCCAAGGGCTGCATTTCAAGACCGGAGCAGATGTCACTCGAGTTACAAATCGAATCTAATGATGGGCTACTGGGTCTATGATTGTGGCGTATGTGACCGTTTTACTGAGGTTAGGTCCAGCCAGGTCAAGTTTTTTTTATATATTTTTTGCAATTTAGAAAAAAAATTAATTAAAGTCCGGTAAAGTGGAACTATAAATAAATATATATATATATATATATATATATATATTTCAATTTAGGCTTTAGCCTTTGGGTTTTTGATCCATTGTATTAACTACAGCCCGTATCTGTGTTTTAGAATTTTTGAACTGATGATGGATCTAAACTAGGAAACGTTTCCAGTAAAGATTTGGTAAATTGTTGGGAAATTTTCTTCGCTCTACAAATATTGATGAATTTACGATTTAAGCAATCGAGTGCCATTATTAAAGGTAAAGTACGAGAGATAAAGTAGTTAACTTGCCTTTCATTTTGGTGCACCGTTGGATGCTGGTGCAGTTTTGCGCACAGATCACAGATGTGTGGACGAAACGGATCTCCAATATCTACTTCGTAGTCCTCCTTCCACGCGAAGTAACTGCAGATGTACATCAAAAAGCATTATAAAGACTAGAATAAACTCACATTGCCAATAATTCCTTTACAATTAAGTTTTAAGAGGAGCGTCTGGTTAATTTTTTTTAATTTTGGCTTTTCCGGCTTTTAGTCTCATTTTAAAGCTGACATTCTGAGCTATCCAACGGTACCAAAACCATCTCTGTACGTTGATTTATGCGCTCACGACAGATTCCACAATGGGGGAGTTCATTCCACAAGGGGGGATTCCATTTCACGGTGGGGGAGTTCTTTAACACAATAGATAGGGGAAATTAGCTGCAGTGCACATAATATAGGGTGTCTGCTAGAGCTAAGCTTCAGTAGCCCGACTGGCGTCGTACGGGGTGCTGTGCCAGCATTCACTCCCACCATCCTTGACTTGAATCAAGCTCCAGTAACGCTTAGTTTTGTATCCTTGCTGCATTGAGTGGCTAATTCGATGCGCGCTGCTTTCTTAGTCGCGCTGTCCTGAAAAGTTAACTTATTGTCACGGCAAAACTATATCCTCCTAGAGTTTTGAAGCTACAGCGATGGGAGATATACCATTCGATTCGCAATTAAAATATCTATCGATGCAACCTAGTTTTTTCGAATTTCGCTATAGTTTTGAAAATATTTTGAAAAAAGGGGTGGGGGGGGGGGATAGGGGGAAATCGAAAAATTTTCGAAAATTTTGGGAAAAATGCCCCCACATCCACAAAAATTCGAAATGCTAAAAAAAACCACGTTGTATCGATAGATAATTTAATTGCAAATCGAATGGTATTTGTCTCATCGCTGTAACTTCAAAACTTTAGGAGGAGATAGATTTCTACAGTACCCCTTTTCTGTCCGTTGTCTAAGAATTTCACGTTTTCTTTCATTTTTTTCGAAAAATTGACATGAATAAAAGCTGTCTATTTTTCGGTTTTACACATGTGTACCAAGTTTCAAGGTGATCCGTCTGTAGATAGCCGAGATAAAATTTTGGCCAGACTCTCCCCTTAATTCAAAAACGAAACTTCAGGAATTCAGCTACGAATAGAATCAGCCAAATTTTATATTCAACAGTCGCGGCAATGGAGTTTGGCTGGAGAAGGCAAATGCTCTTGGAATTTCATAGCCCACGTGAACTTGCGGTCTCATAACCGGATCACGTCACGTACTAGTTTTCACTGGCTAAACTATGAATTTCATGTTCCCCCTATATGATGACACGCTATCTCACTGAACCGACCATATAGATGATTGTAATAATGTCAGGAGAGAAAAATCGTATGTTTGGGCGGCACTCTGTCAGGAAGCAACATTAAGGTGTCATTTTCGGGGCGGGAGATAAATATGAGGCCCTCACGTGTATATTATATTGTATGTATGTTTAACCCGAGGACAGGAATTCGAAGACTATGTGAAGGATAAGTAAACTCACTCTGTTTTAGACTTGTCATGATATAGGGTGGTTACGTTACAGAGGAATAGACATACGGCTAAGGCAGGGTTCACTCCATACGGCCGGGCACATGCCAGGCATATGCCAGTTCCTGTCCAATCAAATATTCTGTATTGCATTTTTTAGAAGCATTGACACCAGTCGTGCAAAGCACCTGCCATGCCCGTGGCTCGAACGCTTCTATGGAAGTGCAGTAAGGGTTATCTTGTCAAGATATTCTTGTTAGGAATAAGCACCTCGGTATGATCTTGTTAAGAAAACGCACCCTAGTATATCCCTGATAATAAAACGTAATGTATTTTTTACACTGAATTGTAATTCTTGAAAAAAATGTTCAAACAGACCTTATATGTTTGTATTATTCATTCGGTTAACCTTGTTAAGAATACACTCCTCAGTAATGTTCTTGTTAAGAATATGCACCCCATTAAGGGGACCTAAGAACTCTCTCACCCGCTTCCCTTTAAAGAGACGTCATGACCGTAAATATTGGCGTACAGCGATGGCAGTGGTACCATTAGAAAGAACAGAATTCCAGCTTTCAGAAGAGCATAAAAACCGAAAAACGCCATAATTGAAAATTTTAGGGTAGTGGGTCCCCTTAACGTCAAGGGTGCTTATTCTTAACAATATTGGGCTGGACCGTGACTGGCACATGTCTGGCAGTATGATGTGAACCCGGCCTAAAACTTCGCCCGTCATGTCAGAGTAGCAATGAATGATGCATCGCGGCGATCGCGCAAGCTACTGAGGTGGACTTGCAAGCCCTATTATAGACTTGCTGCTTCCGCCCACAGAGCTCTTGTCCTCCGTACCTACATCAAAACTTGTATGCTCAAACCACTCACTGACAATTCACTATGTGTGCTTGAGACATCATAGAACTTGTCAATGAAGATTATCGCATTTCACCTTGTATGCCTGCTATATCACTGTAATCGTAAATAAAGATGATCATAATTGACCATGCAACCACAAGCCTATTAAATCCAAGTGAGGATTATAATTTACCGCGGTTTGTTAGCTGCAAGCAATAGCTAGTATAAAAAAATGCTGCTAACATCATCGTTCGATAGTCACCGCCAAAAACATTCACAATGCAAATAGGTTTACCTGTTATAAGCAGTCCTATTGTTTGCGGTTGCCAACAGGAAGTTCGCCAGCAGCTTAGGAGTGGCAAAGTCCAGAGCATTGATCACTGAATTTGGCGGAGCATAGAAATGGTAGTCGGCACCCCCAAACACAACAGGCACCACGTCACGCGTCAACGCCAGGTACAGCTTTTCTGTTACGTAATCGGCACCTGTGGCGACCATACTTTTTAGGGGTAAAGCAAGGCTAACATATTACATATCGTAGTAAATTTGAACCGGAACGCTACTAAATCTTAGTAAACTCGTAGTGTAACGCAACCTGATGCGGTAACGATGTACCCTTACGCTGCCACGTCTTAGTTTACTCGTAGCGTACCGCCACCTGATCGTGCTAACCGTGTACCGTAACGCTACCTGATCGTGCTGTGTATGTACCGTAACGCTACCTGATCATGCTAACCGTATACCGTAACGCTACCTGATCGTGCTGACCATTTACCGTAACGCTACCTGATCGTGCTGATCCATGTACCGTAACGCTACCTGATCGTGCTATCCATGTACCGTATATAACGCTACCTGATCGTGCTAACCATGTACTGTAACGCTACATTGTAGAGGAAATAAATGTAATTACTGTATTTATAACTTTTAAGTTGCAATGTAGTAGTAGGTTTAGGATTTTGGTTTATCATTTTCAATTTTCATTCACCTTAGCGACCTCCAGCAGTGGGGCGTTGAATTTATTATTGTATCTCGTGTTCTTGCAGTGGAGACGCGTTAATCGATTGCTCCGTGATTATATTTGTGATTGTTCAATTCCAGAGTGAATCGTTATATTGATTATTTGTGTCTATTAATTTGTTTATTATGTATTCATATTCTCTAGTTAGGTATTCCATGTGTTATTTTTGTTTTATTTCAGGAAGGCTTCGTTTTTTTTTTTGGACAAGGACTTTTGGACTTGTGGAAATTGGAATTGGACTGAAACACAATGTTCGGGTTTAGGTTTTAGGGTATTAGGTTTGTTTACGATTCTATTATTTCTTCGCTAATTATATTTACTTTATTATATATATATTGAAAATCCATGGTTTAGTAAAGTGTTGGTTTATTGAAGTATTGGGTGAGGAACGATCACGTGCTCTGTGTCGATGAATATTCGTTCGTTAAGAGATTGGAAGCTCCCCAACAACCTGTTCGTGCTAACGGTAACACAGACGATGGTCACAAATTTAACTCTCAAACTACCTCTGGAGCACACGCTCAGTCTAAAAAGCACATAGCTTCAGAGCTACGGAATTAAAGACGACGCTTGAAACATCTTCGATAGTTTTATTTTAACTATCGATATTACTGACAGAACTACTCAAACAAGGCGTTTTCGAAGGCAAGGTAAGAAGTATTATTCTACTGTGAACTGGTCGCAGTCTCTACTCACACAAGGCGTTTTCGAAGGCGAGGTAGAAGTAGTATTCTCCTGTGACCTGGTCGCAGTCGCTGCTGTTGAATTTCCCTATATTTCGGTGAACGAGGCTTAATCCACAACTCTTGTTACCACATGAACCATACACATCCATTGGAATGTACCTGCACCACGTAGAAGAATGTTAATTGAAAATTAATAAGTTGGCCAAACGGAAGAGATATGGGTTGAAGTAATTATAGTCTCGTTTTAAGGTAACCAGTGAGCAGCAAATTAAGATGTGTTTCACGCTTTCTTTTTACAACTGAACTTGGTAGTTTGCTATTGTAAAAAAGCCATCTATCTATTCGCTGGATGGAGGGGCGCGAGGAAAAATAAATGAGAGGGGTCGATAATCAGTTTGCTGTAGAAAGTCAGTCTGCGACATCAGGCGACGGCGACTGGCCAGATATGGCCTTATATTCAACGGTGACACAAGTGGATCATCATTTATGTTATATTTATAATACATTAGAGTTATCGCAGTTGTCGTACCAAACTGCAGTTGTCTTACTTGCTTAGTTCGGCAGCGTAGCTTTCCCTGCGGCTGTGCGTCTGGCAGTGACTCACCATCCAAGCTGTCATTTTCTCGAATTTTTTTCCGGATGTATAGTCGTGGTCACGTCTCCAGATTTCCGGTACTGCGAGAAATGACTTAACGAGTGGTTGTAAATTACATTATTAATTGTTTCATATTCTACATGGTTGTATGTATTGTTCAACGTTGTACAGGTATGTTATTGCATACACTTCGTTTGTTCTTTCAATTTTGTATGGAGGCACCAGCAATGGACATACGTATTCCTGGTTAATTCTGAATCGTTGTAAAATATCAATAACATGAATTTGACGCGAAGGGAAAATTGATTTTTTTTTTCATTTTCAAAGCGACGGCTTAAATCTCCAAGCAATAAAATGGTGACTTTACATCATTCTCTTCAAAATATTCTCTTTAAATTCCCCTTTCACCTTTTTTATCATCCCACACAATATGCGCAAAAATGCTTTGTTATAAAATATTTCAATACACAAGTCACTCGCTCTATTCACTTACTTGTTCTCTTGACGACAACGCCATAAGGAGCCACGACATCGGAGTCTCGTCGGTACGACATCGTCCAGTTCACGACATTGTTGAGGCGGCCCCAGTCGATGCGACCAATTCCCTGATGTGCTTGCACTGCCATTCAAACAAAGCTAACTTAACAAGAATTCATTTATTCAACAAGTTTAATACAGACAATTAATTTATGTGCGTGATGGAAACTGAACGTTGATGTGCTTAGACGCATGGCACCGCTGGAGCAATGTTTGAGAACGTTCTCACAAGTTTGCGAGAGCGTTTTAACCGTTGCAAAATATGCAAAGGACCGTTCACATCGCCTGAGCTCTTCACGACCGCTTTTTCAAGAGCATTCGATGAAGTTTTTAGTATGACACGCGTGTTAGCAGAATTTTCTACATCGAAGTTTCATATTTCGCAATATTAATTGCCGTTTTCAGTGCCCGGCTATAAAATTTTCACCAAATTGAGGAAGTCAAACTCAAAGTTAGAGTATGGACACTGACAACAAGTATTTATCCAAATATTGGTGCCGTTTGTTTCATTAAACGAAACGCGTTTGAAAATAGTTCTTCACCCTGGACATGCAACGTTTATGCCAATGTTCGCACGCAAGGTTCGAAGACTCTCTTCGGTGTACAGGCAATGATAGCAATAACCAGCATCGTATCCGCAACAGTTTGCAACCGCGTTTGCAAACAACCTGCATGTGGGAGAAACGTCGTAAAAACAATTAAGAACAAAAAAAAAAAAAAAAATTCAGCGATGAACGAGATACAATTTCACAATTGAAGCCTTACTTCGTTTCGCGAAACAAGCATCGCTTTATTAAACTATGTTATGATATTTTGTTAGTAAATTGTTGCTATCATTTAGTTACTTTTGCTGATAGTAGTTATCATTATTCATCATCCGTACTCAAACAAGTGTGCGGCAAAACTTATAAACTTCTAACAGCCTCCCTGTGTACGTTTAAATTTATTATTTGTTAACTTTCATTAGTAAATCGGAATCATTATTAGGTTAACCTTGCCTCTGGGAAGACCTGCCGCTGAAACCTTATGCGAGCGCAGCAGTGCACCGCCAATTTTGTGGGACAATCAGAGCTGAATGGTACGCCTAGCATAATTAATTGGATGATTGAATACATAATTGGATGATGGAGTAATTCCATGGATAATTGAAAGATTAATATATTTTCAAACAATGATTTGAATAATCCTAAAATTATTAATGGGTCATCAGAACAATGCCAACATCAGGCATCCTAGTTAATTGCTGCTACACTAGCCATCTACGTCACTTGGGTAGTAATTTGGCAAAATTGTACTTCTTAACATTGTAATATCATTAAATGTTTCTGTCTACATAGAGCATTTTGCGTTAACAAGACGCGTAGTAATTTTCTTCCCCCACGAAAGCCTCTGGTTCGGAGACGATTAACTCAGTAGGTACAAGCCATTATAATAGCATTGACCTAACAAAATTAATTTAAATGCTAAACAAAAGGAAATATTTCCCAAAGATTATTAAATGCTACATATTCATTTCATGTTACAGCTTGCAGATAAATTTTTGAACTCTCCTATACGAATTAAAAGTCTCATGTTGATTTTAGCCGCCTCATGCCCACATAGAGACAGCTTTTTTCTCCGAACGACCCAAGTGATTGTGTTCACTGAATATAAAAGTGTGGTGTCACTTGCTCCCGAATATGATCGTTATCAGGTCCATGTCCATTCAAAAATGTTATATTGGTGTAAGTTATGATTTTCTTACGCCACTGATGCCCTAGTAATTGTATTCCTACCTGGTGGAGCCTCGAGAGAAAAGACCAGCCAGGGCTGCGCTAGAGGTCGGGGGTCTGGCAGCGGAGTGGACTGCAGAAAGTCATTGGTATGGAAGACCACAACATCAGCGCTGCTGAGCTGTGAGCGGTCATGAGTCACCACACAAGCGTTCACCTCACACTGTTGCTTGTGCAGCCTGTAAAAACAATAATTTCTTTATATATATCTAATTCATATGAGTTAAGACAATTGAGATGTCAGAGTTAAACAGGGTCAAATCTGGACTGTTCAGAATTCGTACAGCTTGATGGGGCATTGAACCCGCAACTCACGGCTTAAATCATGGCACTCTGAACTCTAACTACTGGGTCACTCTTTGCTGTCGAATATTTTCCTTAGACCAATCACTTATTTAATGGTTCTCTAATTTTCATCTTCTTCCTGAAATGTTTACAAGTGAATAATCATTGGTTCGTAACCTTTGTATATCTCGCTTTTCTTTCATAAGCTATAATTTGCACCTTCCTGAAGAACTGATTTGTACGTAGCACGCAAGTGCAGTATTTTCGTGTCACTCATCCTGCCGAACAAATTACTTATGTGATGTAGAGAACGTGAATTTCACCTGGCGAAGAAGGTTTCGTAGTACTTGTAGCTCTTCCAGAACGTAGTCCAGAGCAAGATCTTCTTGAGCGGCATGGTGTAGAGAGACTTTACTGCACCGTTGGCAGTTGCATTCCCAACTGCTGCGCTGTCAACTGCTGCGTTGTCAACTGTTGCGTTGTCAACTGCTGCTCTGTCAACTGTTGCGTTGTCAACTGCTGCTTTGTTAACTGCTGCTTTGTCAACTGTTGCGTTGTCAACTGCTGCGTTGTCAACTGCTGCTTTGTCAACTGCTGCGTTGTCAACTGCTGCGTTGTCAACTGCTGCAAGGATAATTCTCGCAGAAGTGTTCATCACAGCGACAGGGGAACGGAACCTGCTGGGAGAGGGTGTGGAGGTAATGAGTTCGCTTAAGCAATCCAGCAATGAACGCAGTACGACCAAAATTTCACGAGTGAAAAATAAAATAATGAATCTGCTAAGGAATATATCAATCGAACTATGAAAAAAATTGGAAAAGTCACGAACAATGTAATATTTCCGTAACCCACTCATTTTGAGGATGGCATTCAGTAGCCCACTCACCTGGTGGTTGATAGCCCACTCCCCTGTTTGCATGCAGTTGCACACTCACCTGGAGGTTGGTAGCCCACTCACCTGGAGGTGGGCAGCCCACTCCCCTGTGGATGGCATGCAGTAGCTCACTCACCTCGAGGTGGGCAGCCCACTCCTCTTTGGATGACATGCAGTAGCCCACTCACCTCGAGGTGGGCAGCCCACTCCTCTTTGGATGGCATGCAGTAGCTCACTCACCTGGAGGTGGGCAGCGCTTTCGACTCCATGTATACAACAGCCAGCACGAGGCACAAGCAAGACACACCAAGCGCCGTCAGTAACTTCCTCCTGAAGCTCATTTCACTGAAGAATAATTCCAACTGTAAGGTCATTGATCAAATAATTTTACAGTAAATAATAATGAATGACCCAAACTAAAACAGGGAATTTGGTTGTTAGTCGTTTTATTAGTAATCAATTTCATTACCGCATCATACAAGAGTCGCGTTGAGGATTTGTAGGGGTTAATTACTCTATGCATGCGTTGATTTCGTCACTGACTCACCGGTGAAAATGCTGCTTTCGGCTTAGCACTTTTTTTAGATTCTATTTGTATTCATTGCCTGATCCTCCGTATGTATGCATATCAGATCAAGATGAATGCATCGTGAATAAGTTCGTCATTCATCTGACCGTGGTGCACATACGGTGAGCTAAAGATTCCATCACTTCGTCAAAACATTTGCATTGTATGAGAAGCATTTCTCAGTAACTAAATCACTTAGAGAACATTTATTTCAGATAAAGTTAGATTCAATTATACCACTGCCAGTATTTTTTGTTTGATTGAGCAACAGCGCTGGTCACAGCAAGGCATGCAGTGCGGCAGGTAACGCTACGTTCAAAAGAAGCACACTCGTTTGTCTGCCGCTCGTTGATCATCAGACAAATTTTCTTCCATTAATTAGGCGCCCTGTTGTGCTCGACTCTTTATCCATTCGCGACGCTCATCTAATCGCATGTCTGATGCGATTAGATGAGCGTTGCATTAGATATGCGATTCGCATTAGAAAAGAGGCCTAAAAACAGCTTCTCTAACCACATTGGAAGACAATCACACACATAAATAATACAAGGCAAATGTGTTATTATTGTGAGCGATGATGCTTTGGTAGTACACGATACGATAATGAATGGTAATTAAGTATAACCTGAGGGTTGGCCCGGTTGTAGCGTGATCCGAGGAAATTGAGGAACAGCGTAAACGATTATAGAATATTACTTATAGGATTGAAGTTCGGCTTTCAGTTAAGGATGAAATAGGGTTATTGGTTGGTGCTTTAATTAACACTGATGTCTTCGGCGTCCAGTTGTGGTAAGGATAAGTCTGGGCATATCCGAGTGTTCTGTCCTCTGACGTTGAGTTGCGTTTCTGTCCTGTTTTATATGGACAGGAGCAAGAGGTATACAGACAGCGGTCCTCACTCATGACTGAGGCTTTCAGAATCCAGGTCTGGGCAGAGCTCATATAGCTTCGAACTATATAGGTATTTGCTTGGCAAAGAACTCTCCCTAGCTGAGCACGAGTCTCGAGAAAAACCTTGTAAAATGATCTAGATTTTCCTGGACAAAATCAAATTCTCCGTTTCGAAGAGACGCAGAACAGTCTCCGCCATGATCACTTGCCATTTCCAAACGATGGATAATGTGGCAACAAGCAGAACAAACAAGAATAGTCAAGCGATCAGATGTCAGGTGCGTTCGGTGATCCACCACAAGAGACAAGGCTCCAAAACACACGGTTTCATGAACATTAATTTACTTCAATTTACTTTACTTTACCTTACTTTACGTTACTCTACTTTTACGTTACTTTACTCTACCCAGTTACGATTCCGACTTGCACGGCACCATTATGTTGAGGACTAATCAATAAATAAGCATTCTCTGACCCCGAACACTTGATCAATTGCTCGCAAATACAGGGTCCACCATATTTATGGTAACGGATGTCTGCTATATAAATAAAAATTGGTTTCCGGGGACTTTTCTTTTATAATGAAGCTTAATATAATCTTTTAATTCATCTATTTTATATTGCAGAAGTCTAACGTGTCTAAATTTACTATTACTAATGGCAGTAGATAGCAATGCAATTGTAACCCTTCATGAAAAGGGCGAGAGTAATACAGTCATTGCAAAAAAAAGCTCCAAATTCGTCGTGAAACTGTGTGGAAGGTGTTAAAAAAATCAAGAAAACTGGTGAAACATGCAATCGACCTGGTCAAGGAAGCGTCCGATCAAAACAATTGGTCAAAAAACACGAGGGAGAAGTTGAGGAGAAACCCTCGTCGCTCAGCTGCAAAATTGGCTGCAGAAGCAGGAGACAGTCAGACATCAATGCGTAGAGTCCTCAAAGATGACCTCAAAACCTCCCTTTACAAGATGCAAACAAGGCATGAACTAACAGACCGTCATGAACGAATGAGGCTCGAGAGATACCAGCACATTCTGGATCTCATTGAGGATGGCACGCTGCCCAACTTGGTGTTCAGTGACAGGAAAAAAATTTGACATTGAACAAAGCGTTAACCGTCAAAATGACAGAGTTTGGAGTCTGGATGGATCTGTGGCAACCAGAACAGTAACACGACGTCAAAGTCCCAGTCCGTGATTGTTTGGGCCGCGGTAACCGCAACTGGGAGGTCCCCACTCGTTTTTGTCACCTCAGGAGTGAAATTGAACAGTCAGCGATACATTTCGGACATTTTGGAAGCATGTGTTGTTACCTTGGCCCCGTAAACACTTCAACGGCTCACCATGGAGTTTTCAACAAGACTCTGCCCCATCACATGGCTCAAGCATGACCCAAAACTGGATTCAGGGTCACATCCCAGCGTTCATTAGCAAAATGAATGGCCCTCAAGAAGCCCTGATTTGAATCCTTTCGACTTTTCTGTGTGGGCTATTTTAGAGAGTAGGGTCTGCAGAACACCTAATGATTCTTTGGATAGTTTGAAGTCAAAATTGACACGAGAATGGGACTTGATCCCGTCAAGAAATGCTGCGTGTCTCCTGTGAGGCTTTCTCGCGTAGATTGGAGGCCGTCATTAAAAATAAGGGTGGTCATATTGAATATATAGGTCTGAGAATTGTTTAGGTAATTCTTGACTACTAGCTCATCCAATAAAAAAACAATGCACCTGTTAGTTTCATTGAGAAATAACAAAAAGCATGCGTTGCCATAAATATATAAATTAATATGGCAAGATGAATAAAAAGTGAAAAATTAAGAACTATAATAATAAATGAACGATAAATACAAAAAAACAAATCACAAAACTATAAACCGTGTGCCTTTCTAGCCCTTGCCTATTAACCCGTAATCATGTCCTAGGTTCGGAGCCCCGCTGAAGAGCACGAATAAATACAAATTAAGGATTTGAATCATCACAACACTAACGAATGAATAAAGCACACAAGTAATAAATTAACATAAATAATATTCAATATCACCAGAAAGGCCACCACTATATCAAGACTGAAGATTAACATGATAAACAATGCAAGGACTAACCTCTGTGGTGGATCACTTAGCAATGACAAGCTAGATGACATGTCTACACGAGGTGACGTAATCGTTCACTCAAAAAAATGACAATATACGTAACCTAACTATCGATTAAATTATTACATTGAAAGACGTTCCCTAACAATGACAATGCTGGTGGGCTCTTCCAGCACAATGCGAGTGACGTTGTGAGATTGTCTCATGTGGTTCACTTGCCTTCCAGGTTGAAGGTAGCTAATGAGACAGCGGCTCGGTGTCCTGGTTGTTGATCTAATTTGTCAGATATAGTCCAAACGATGAAGATGTCTACAACCTTCTTTGAAGCAAAATGTAAGAAAATTTTGCTCCTTCCTAGTTTAGTTTATTAGCGTCTTTAATAAACTTAAACCACTTCCTGAAACATGCCTTTCGATCTACCAACGTCATCTGAAGAATTGTCCGACTCTCTGATTATTTAAATCAGCAATTTCTCTGGTCAAAAAGTACGCTTATTTTGAACAATGCTATTCGGTCCCACTAATTTCCTTGACTGTACCGTGGAATTGGATGTTCGAAATGGTATGGATACTAAGTAAGACTTTTAAATAGCACCCTGAGCCAGGCATAAAAATCGCTAATTACATTCAGCAGTGAGAACTGGTTAGGTGAGTCAGAAACCCTCTCGTGTCAATATTTATGACTATGTTGAAGAAGTGAAGTTTTTAGCGAGAATTTTTTCGAACGTAGTTGTGGTATTGCTTTCATTCACAGCGTTGCCAATGTCATATCTAAACAGTTGCCTACTTCTTAATTGCTGTGATTGTAAGTCCTTCCCATATGGTGTGAAGATTAAAGAACGGATCGTTTTCATGGTGACCACCACTGATTTGCAATGATTTACGATTTACCAGTAATTATAAAATAAATTTATTACACAAAACAATAAATAAGAAATGAGTTTCGCACACACAAGTACACGAGTACACTGTACATGTGAAGCACCTCTGGTAATCTAAGATGTATTCAATTAATAATAACATATTTCATAAAACATTCCTAGAGCCTGTCATTATTCATACCAACATTCTAAAGTCTAGATTAGATTAGCATTGGAAAAATACCGTCAAACGGGATAATAAGGGACGGGCGGGTAAATCGTGACAGTCGTCCCACATTTCGTAGAAATGTTGTAGCAGTTAAACTACCTCAAAAAAAATTCCACGAAAAAAGGGATGAGAAGTAATCCCTAAGAGGTATATGAATAAATCCCCTAAAATCCATTTATTACCTCCAAAAAATCCCTGAAAAAAGTGTAAAAAGTGAGATTTTGGAAAAGTACCTCTGCTAAGGTATGTAACCAAAAAAATATATTCATCGTACTAAAAAATTTTACTTACATAAAAGTTGCACACAGGTGTTGGCCTAAAAACGCGATTGACGGAACATGCGTATCTCGTTCCAAAAAATGGTGGCCATTTCCGCACGACGAAGTAATATGGGACACCCTTCGGGGTAATAGGGGACACCCTTAAAAACGCATTTACAGTAGAACCTCAGCTAATAAATTAACAGCAAAAAATTTTGATTACATTTACTTTGCTCACCGAATAAATTTCAGTTAACGAAAAATTAATGCATCA